GTTGCAATTATAATAATAAATACAATCAATTAAATTCATCCCGCAGTCGTTGTAATATTATTTGCGACAATAAACGCCGTTTGTAATTAACATCGTCCGATCGCAAGTATAATTAATAAAATTAATTCAGGTGCGCACGTCGACGCGTTATTTGCAATTTACTGCTTTTCTCCGTTTTCGCAAAATCGACGATTGGTCGTCGTGATCGTCGTTGAAATTCGCAACGAAAAACCAAACATCGAGACGGGGATGATTCGCGCCGCTCTTCTACGATGATATTCACGAATCTCTCCTCTTGCGTTTCGGTGCCGGTATATATAATGCGATTTTCGAGCGCGTAAAAGCGCGCGCGCACGCGAGAAGAGTCCCAAAGCTTTTAGATCCGCGCGCGCGGAAACCACAGCTGCGCGCAATTACGAGCGGGAGAGCCGCGGATTTTCTGCCGCGGCACGTATATCACTTCGCACCGCTCTTGTTTGCTTAACTAAGCGTCTTAACGAATTGCCGGAGACACGCGCGTCTCCGCCAGGTCGAGGCCAAAGCTCACCTTAACAACACGCCGGCGGAGAGCGGAGCGGAGGAGTGGAAGAGAGAGAGAGAGAGAGAGTGAGAGAGAAAAGGGTGGGCAATCGATCGCAAGTGACATCCGAGTTAATTGCGTTTCCGACGTTACGCGCCGAGCGGATATCGCAGGTATAAATTATACTTGAGAAAATGCTCGAGATACGCATTTGTTGTTATTTGTTTTTGTATCGCTCGCCGGAAACGTGATACAGAGCACACTTGCGACGACAAAATTTACGCCTCGCTAGACACACAACATCTCAAAATCAAGAATCTGAACGACGAAAAAATATCCACGAACAAAGGTAAAAAAAAAAAAAAAACTTCCATGGATAAATTTTTGTGCGAAGTATTATACTTACTAATTATTACTCTACAAATATAAAAATTGATTGTTATATTTGTAAATTGATTGTATCATTTTCCGAGCAAAACTTTTATATAACGTATTTCACGCAGGCAATCATTTGTAATTTCGCGTAACAGACATTGCAAATGCAACAAAGTGTAAAAATTGAGTTATTTTGTCGAGAGCTAGACAATTAATTAAACGAGATGTTAAAGCAGCATAAAGCTGTTGTATAGAATTTACGTTTTCACATATCGAGCGCAAATTTTGTTCGTGCAATATCCTTTAACAGATGATGATTAATTATTATCTTCTCTCTTTTTTTCAAAGCTTGTTTACAACTGTTGTTTGTATAGTTTCACCAGCGTGTTTTATAATTCCTTGTTTCGATGCGATTTTGTTTTTGAAAAACTTTGTTTCATTGCGCAATAGAATTCATACACAAAACCATAGAAAATATATTCAGGATTTGTTTTTTTTTTTTTTTTTTTTTTTATCAGTAGCGTTATTGCGTCAATCAACGGAGAAATTCTATTACGCCGATTATCACGGAGATACGCACGCGTTGATAGAAGATCGCAAACACTAGAACACTTGCGCGCGTACAACTGTAACAACAGAAGAAGGCGTCAATTACAATTACGATGACCATCTGTCACAATAAAGATCGACGTGTCGCGGCCACGAATTGTGCGTGAAACCGCCAAAACCTAGCGTGGCGCGCAAACCTTCTTCCATCGAATTGCGCGGGAAACACGAGAGGGGGATATAAATTGATTGATGGAGCGACCGCACGCGGGAATCGGAGAGCGTTGTTGTACGCGACCAGAATATGGGCTGTTGACGTTTTTATTACTCGATACTAATCGCGCGTTATCGCGCACAGAAGCGCTTTTTGTCATCATCCCTCCGGTAATTATAGACAGTGACAGTGGTGATCTACTTATCGTTTTTAACGTCACGCGTTATGGTTGTCATAATTTAATTCTTCAAAATATATCGCGATGATCCGATTGATTACAGTCAAGTTAACGTAATGAAAATTGCCTTTGAATATCGCGATTGTGACGGTTGCGGATGTTTTGCCAATGACGACGAAAGGATTTTTATTGTTTCTTCGCGCGCGATCTTGTTGAAATCCAAGAGGAGGAAGTTGAATTTGCCTCCTCCTCCCCCCACCGGCGCGCTGCAGTTAAACCGAACACGTTAAAACTCAACGGCACTTGGCGATGCAGTTTCGCGCGCGAAAAATTATAGCGAGTCATCCGAGCGGCCGTTCCTTGGACGCAACGAAGGGCGCTCGTTTGCATTTCACGTTAATAACAGGACCATGTGGCACCGAAGGCAACCCGCGCGCTCCGTGGATATTGCTTGTGTGTATGTATGTGTACGCGCGCGCGCGCGGCGTCAATAAAATAAAATCCATTCGGAGCGGGAACAGCGGACGGCGTGGGTGTGCGCGCCACGTGGATCTTAAAGATTACTCCCGTTTCCGCATTCGTGCCATTTAATTTTGCCGTAGCCCCGCGGTAATTTTGCTCCGCGTGTCGAACCGAAAATATTACCGTGCGGAATCATCAGCGCGGCGCGACGGACCCAAATAGATTTATACACACGTCCGGGTGATAAATTGCACGTCAAACTTTTTTTTTTTTTTTTAAATAAATTAACGGCACGATCTCGCGCGCGCGTCCGTCTCCTGTCATTTCGCATCGTCGCTAGTTCAGTTTTTATAGGTATTGATAAAAACGTCGAGAGAAGATTGCGCGTGTACATCACGTAATTATAATTCTTTTTGTTTTATACCTAAGTCCGCTGAAGAGAGACAAATTTAATGCGAGATGTTTTTCTGACGACAAATTGATATTTCATTATAGACGCGTCGCGCGCGCCCACACTTACTGTAATCCAATATAGTCGGCAAAAATGGCACAGCTGTCGGATTGTTCGTTATGATTATTTCTTTCAATAGGCGCCATTCAATTTCCTTACAGCTAAGCCGTTTCCGGTGATACGGTTTTGTCTTCGAGCATCAAGCCCGCGCACATGTGAAACCGCGGGATGCACGTGCACTTCGCTCGAGATTATATCGCTGTAGCGCTTCCGGCTTGCATTACGCGCATAGAAATGCGCGTATGTGTCGGTTAAAATCCACGAAAATGTTCATTCAAATCTAAATGAAGTCGGTAAATTTCGAAGAAACACGCGTTGACGATGTTATCTTTAATTTGATTAAAGACAAGTACGTGAAATTGTTAAATTTTAATACATCATAAATACGTGAGACGAAAGAAAGAGAGAAATTGCTTTTAAAGATGAACACACGCATCTCTCGATGACGCAGTTTTTGAAATCGGCAATTTATAAATTTTCGATATCGATATCGCGCTGGAAGAGCTTCTGTTCGTGCGTTATGTTTGTTTCCGCGGAAAAAAAAAAGAAAGAGAATTGCGGGGGAGAACCGAACGTTCGGCCACTTTTAATGCCGGACGTATAGACGTCGGCGCGGAACACCGCGCTCGTAAAAGTCCTCGGCGCAACGCGATTACCGTAATAAATATGAAACGAGATCTTGCAGCGTAAGCGCGAGATAAAGAAGGGAACGCGCGAGCAAAAGAAGAAGCTAAATACGCCGCCTCCTGCGGCATCGCGTGCGAAACGCAAAATGCTTACGCGGCGGCGCCGCATTGCTACCTCCGCTGCCACCTGTCAGACCGATGTAAATCTCCATAATGTTTACGACCCCTGTGCGTATTCCGTAACAAGCAAACATCCCCCGGAGGTTGCACGCGGCGGCGAGAAAAATGTTTCTCCGGACACGGTGCAAACATTTTCGATGAAAAGCTCTCACTTCAATTGCTCTGAAAATTTTTTATTTCCCCAATACGTAATTCTCGAGGTTTGTCTCTTGAAAGACACAATAGTTGAAAGAAAAAAAAGAAACAAGTATTTGACACGTGTACGTTTTCTAATGGTGTTTGTAATAAAATTGGTTTGCGGAAATTGTCTTCACAACGTTATTGTATAAACGCGCGAAGGGAGTTTTGCTCTTTAATGAAAAACTATTTCAAAGCGCTTTTCGCCATTTATGTAATAAGTCCGCCGAGTTGAGAATAAATGACATTTCAATTTGCCGCGCCAGTTGAAGATCTATTTCTGCGCGGCTGTAACGAAATGTTGATTCAAAATTCAATCTGAAATTTCAATCCTACTGTTATTTAAAGAGACTTTTAAAAATGTCACGCGTTTGGCGGATTAATAGAAAAAAAATCAATTTGCTGATGTTCGCTCGAACGAACGAAGCGCTGATCTTTCAAGCAAAGACGATATATATATATATATATATCGCTTTCCTCGAGAAAAACATTTGCGAAGATTTTTGTCGGTTCGTTTGTAGGCCGAGCCCGTAAATCAAAACTGACGTGCGCGCAACGTGATCAGTTTTATGGACGGCGACGGTTCGCGGATCGCCAATATAATTTCGCGCCGTGACGAATCTCTTTGTTGCCGGTTTGTAAAACTAAAACGGCGTTTGTCCGTTTCCATTAAAACGGCCATCGGTATGCGCGGCGACGACCCGTCTCGTCGGGCACGTAGACGAAACATGTCGGCGCGGCGTCCCCTCACATGAAATGGGATCAATCAAATATGAATCGTGCGCGCGATGACGTGCATATAGGTGTTCCGGATCTTTTCTTGCTCGTTTTCCACCGTATCCACGTCGACCCGACCTGCTTGAGAGAGAGCAGGTGCGCGTTTCTCGCGCGTTTCTCGTCGTCGGGGGTTGAAAGAGAGAGAGAGAGACAGAAGCTCCCTTCATATTCAATTATAGTGAAATATTTTGACAACGTATATAGAATTATATGAAACGTTTTTAAAAGAGCGAGCGGAAAAATAAAAAAGAAATGTAGTATATACGAGAAGTAGCGCATCGACTGATGATATTGCGCGCGCGGTGTTTTGTAAATTATTGTTTTTCTTCTGCTTTCTCTGTTTTTTTTTTTTTTCATCTTTTGAAGAAACGCGCCTAAGAACTTCACAACTGCGAGAAACGCTTGGCGCTTAAATTCATAACCGCTGTCCGCAGGTGAGAACGCGGCTCGCGAGCATGAAAGTGGAGGGTGGAGTGGCGACGACGACGGTCCTCCACAAGGTCAAGGTCAAGGAAGAGACGAAGGAATGCTGCGGCTACCAGCAGGCCTCGCCGTCGTCCACGTCGGCGGCAGCCACCTCAACCGTCGCGACGCTCACCGTCTCGACGGCGATTGCCACGACCGTCACCAACAGCAGTAACGGCGTCTCTGCCGTGGGCGTAATTTCATCGACGACCACCACCGTGTCCACCGTCGCTCCTGCGCTGCAATCCTCTTCCTCGTCCTCCAGCATTATCTGCCATCCGCCGACGACCATTTCCAACACCGATACCTTTCCGGTCGACCTCGACCTCAAGGCCAAGAATAAAGGTGAGTATCCTTCCGCGTCTTCTTGAAAAAACATCACGCCGAACGTATCACGCAACCGGAAGAACAACAGTGAGTCGCACAGGTTTCCTGCAACCTCCTCGGAGAGGTGTTTTCGATTCTGTATACGTGTGTGTGTGTGTGAGAGAGAAAAGAAAAAAGTGACATGAAAAAGTCAAACATTTATCGCATCCAAGAAGAATTTTCAAACATCTAGCACATTGGCTCACATTGACCGACTATATTTCTTTTGTTAAAAAAAAGATTATTTTTTTCAACATTTTCTTCTTTTTCGTTTGTGTCAGACGTGACGTCTACCAGTCAGATTTTCTTAGACACGAGTATTTCTGCTTTCTCGAAGGACAATCGATCGGTCAGTTGACCCGTTTGGCACCGTGTAAATATCAATTTGATATTGATCTATTGACTTCTTTCTTCCCTTTGTGTGTTTCGGTTCCGTATGTAACTTGCCGTGTAAAATATAAATGACGACGGTAAAATCGGTGAACTCGTGACATTAACGTGGAATTGTAAGAGCGAAGCCGTCAGCGGCTTAAACAAAAAAATTCTTTCACCATTCAGAACTGACAGCGTTGACGCGTTGAAGTGTGCGTATGTGTGTTAAATTTTAGCTGCCGCGCTCTGTTTATATATATTTATATAAAACAACGAACGATTGCGTATTATTTTATTATTACTTCACGAGTTTAATTACAATCGATCGCGAGGCGATTTCGAAGAGAGTATCTCGCCACCCCCGGAATATACACGTGACGTTCAGAGCTGTTAATGCCGCCCTTCACTTCCATCCCGCCCCGGCAATATTTTGTAATAACGTGTTCGCGAGGAGTGACACGTGTCGTTTAAAAATTGAACGACGCGGAATTAACACTCTGGTCTATTTGATCTATCAGTCGGGAACGCGATGAAAAAACAAATCACCCGAAAATTTTCACCCTTTTCTTTCTCCTTCTCTCCCTCCCTTCCTCTCTCTCTCTCTTTCTCTCCGCGGTTTCGCTTATTCTGTTTTTAATTCGGAATATCGAATACGTTTTTTTCTCACGGCTCTCGAGAGAGAGACGGCACACGTCGTCGTCGATTGATTTTGCGCGCGGCGCGGCGCAGGTACGCGCGGTGAGAGTGCAGTTTATCTAATTTTAGATTCGCATCACACGGTACATTACTTTTTTCCTACACTTAACGCGGATTTCAGTGGCCGGCCGGCGCAGCTGTCAGCTGTCAACCTGTCGCTTGCAATCTGTCACTCGCCAAGATTGCGGCGTGTGACAACCAATCTTAAAAACAAATTTGCGCGAGCGGTGAAATGATTTTTTTAATTATAAAATTAATGCAGCTTGAATATATATATATATATATACATATATGCACAATATATATAAATATTCCGAGTTTAACGAAACACGGAGATGAAAAAAATTTAATGAAATTTTAGTTAAAATGAGCGCAGAATCGCGCGTAGCCGTACAATGCGAATTGGTGTAAATTTTTTGCAAAATTCACGCGCGAAACGTAGATACGTATGTGCATAAGGTACGCGCGCCAGCGAGCTCGAGAGAGAACGACATTTTCCAACTGTTCCGTCGCTCCGGAGAGGCCGCGTAAGAGACCGACGCGTGTTGATTTAGCCGTTTTCGAAAGAGGTGCGCTTCAAAGTCCGCTTCCGGTCCGCTTAAGATCTCGGGCGAGTCGCCGCGCAAAGTGCTATACGTTCTCCTTCCCGCGAAAGAAGAACTGACCCCGATTCTGTCGGAACTGAAAAATTTATAAAAAAGAACGAACGCGACCTCGCCGCGCGGTGTCCGCGCGAGAGAGCCCGCGCTGTGGGCGCGTCGTAACATTAGTTCGGAATATTGCATGCCGGTACCCGTATATTCCTACAGTACCGCTCTCTTCTCTCTCTCGCTCGCTCGCTTGCTCGAATCGTACATTCAGTCTGAGCCGGTTATCTAGACGGGCGAGCCCGCAGCGAAACTTGGAAACCGGGGCTCAGGAAAAAAGCCCCTTCTGGCACATCAAAGCCCCGTCATCACGTCCGAGCGCGAGTCCCTCTACTCCTCCTCTTCCTCCTCCTCTTCCTCTTCTCTTTCGTTAACCGCTCGAGATCGATCAGTTTTTGTTGACGTAACGCAGCATAAAAATCGTCACCGAGGTGTTGACGAGATCCTGTACTCGCCGTCGACGTGATGTGATTAAATCTCTTTTTTTTTTTATTAAAAAAAGAAAAATCTTTCTCTATATATACACATATATTACACGTATATTATAAAACGCAATTTCAAAACTGTAAATCAAAAGAAAAATCAATATCGCGTTATAAAGTCTAAGTCGATCGTTTTTGGACTCCGTGTGGGATGTGATTCTGAAATATATTCGGTGTACGTAACTCTTGCGGTCTTGAAAGCACGCTTAGTGTGCACACACTTACACGTTGATGCGTACGTGTGTGTTTACGTAAAGAGAGCAAATGCGATCGCAGGTGGGCGGGAAACGGAGAGAGACGGGACGACGATGTTCTCTCTCTCTCTCTCTGTCTCTTTCTCTCCGCGGGGGATGATGGCGAAACTCCTGCGAGTCAGTCAGTCAACTTGGGTTGGCTGGCCCGGTGTGTGTCGGTTAGGTTCGTGCGCCGCCTGACTGCCTGGTCCAGACGCGATAAGGCACGTCCAACACTTCCACCGGGATTCTGCTCGGGGCTGATATCATATCCGGCCGCGCTGCCGCCGCCACCGCCGCCACCGCCGGGGCGACTCCCCGACGCTTCGCATCGTTCGAGGTGTATTTCGCGATAGTCACCCGCACACCGCGTGTACCTACGGGCGCGGCTTACGACCTGGAGCTCGTGTCCCCGGCGTACGCGCGTCCTGCTCCCGCCTCTTACAACTGGCTTTCGTAAAACCGGCAAAGCCTCCCCTCGGGCACGGAAGAGCGCGATACTGTCAGTTCGAATGTTACTTAGTTATGGATGGATGTATTAAAGGGGGAACGGCACTTTCTCGAGAGATATTTCGGCTAAAATTGTGTACGGATTGAGACGCAGTAGATCGATATTGATGGTTCCTCGTCTATGAAACGATAGTTGGAACTAATTGATTCCGATGTATCTTAGTTCGAGATTTCGAAGGAGATTACGAGATTGAACCACGTAGTTAATAGCGTTAATTAATAGTACAGAAGAGCAAGACACACGCACACGCACTCTCTCTCTTAAAGAAAAAAATTCACTAAAACTAAGGTTTATTATTATAACACTAAAGGAAAACGGCCTGTGTACATCTGTGGGTTAAAAAAAAAAAAAAAAGGGAGAGACTTTGCGAGAGACGCGTCGTGACGCGTTAAGCTTCCGAGTGTGCGAGCGATCAGCCCGTGACCGGGATGAAATACCGACGGTCCTCAGACCTTAAGTGGCACGCTTGTCTGCGAGATGAAATCGAACACATGGAGTCGCGCGCGGGATCGAATCGGCAAGGAGGAAGCCCGCGCGAAGAAGGATATGCGAGAAAAACGGCGTTGGCGGAAGAAAGGAGAGAGAGGAACGCTTTACAGAATGGTGAGAGAGAGACAGAGAGACATAGAGAAAAAGAGAGAGAGAGGGAGAGAGAGAGAGAGATACAGGGAGAAAGAGCGGGACAGAAGAGAATTCGAGAGTGGGAAGACTCGGGAGTAGGGATTGCGATCAAAGCCATCTGTTGCATTGTCCCGGCAATTAGGAGGCGACAGCTGAGTCCCACCGTACTTACTTCCAGCCAGGGACTCTCAGCCGCGTGGAGCACGTGCGCTTTATCGATCTCGCTCTCTTCGGTGCCCTGTCGAACGTCGTCTACGACGACGACGACGACCACCTTGCTCTCTCCTCGCGTATACGATTCGCGTGAAGCCCGGGTTCTTTACTTCGGCTGCCGTTAGCGCAACTGTTACTGGCGGGATTGCTCGCATCCTTCTTTGTATAACATTGCGTTACGGTAAATTCTCATAGAACAAATTTAACGCAAAGTCTTGTTTTTTCTATGAAACCGCAAAGTGATGAAAAAAAAATCCTCGTGAGCGCGCGGATATGAGATATACAGTTCGCGGGCGAATTTGCGTCAGAGAGCAACATCGAAAGTAACTCTGAAAAGGAATGGTCTGATTGACGTAACAGTTTGCACAACGAACTCCTTCGTGGTTTCGAAAATGTCTGGCAGTGATGCGTGCTGGCGAAGAAATGAAGAGTCTCAGAGAGCAAGAAGCAAACTTGTTAGAGACGTCTCACAAAGGCGGAAAGGCTACGTCTTTGTAACTCGTTCCACTTGACGCTAAGCGCGATTATAATTATCTGACTTTCAATAATGCGCAATGAAATGCGTCGTACGTATATTACGTGTGATATCCGGTGCGTTCGTCGCATTCAGGGGCAATTAGCATTGAAATTGTCACTCAAAATGGGAAGCGATCCAAAACTTTCGATGATAAACGACGCATTGGTACGTTTTTAGTTAGAACAAGTTTCACAATTTCCACGAATTTGTCGGGATAAAATTATATATTGCTGGAATATGCAGATAATATCGGGAGACGCGCGCGGATGTGTGTGGAGAGACGTAATGGATATCGTTCTTCTTCTTCTACTACTTCTTCTTCTTTCTAATTCATGGATTTCCCGAGTTGGGACGCGCGCAGCGCGCCCACGTTTTATATAATGGATATCTTTGAGCGGAACTGAAAGAAAAGTTCGCTTGTGGCGTGAGGAGAGACGCGACGTCGCTCCTCGAGTTCTGCACGTGTGTGCGTTTTAATGCGCGCATATGGTCCGCAAGGCCAGCCCACATGGGTAAACTTTGATTTTCTACTGTCACGAAGACAAACGGGCCTCAGTGGCAGAAAAATAGCGCGCGATTATCTGAAATTTTCTACGGCGCGCGCGCACGTCTTCTTCTTCTTCTTCTTCTTCTTCTTTTACTTTTTCTTCTTCTTTTACGTGCGTGCTGAAATTTTACGGCGCGCACGTTAAAAAGTTTTCGCAGATATTATACTTTATATAGATTCCTCAGATGATTTATTTTATATGTAATTTGAGAAGAATTATTATTATTACACGCGTTTTATTAGGCGTGCGATTAAAACAATTTCGCGTATTGAATATTTTATTTTTACAAAATCGACGAAAAGAGAGAAAGAGAAATGGAAGATAAGAATTCTAATTTAATCTCTTCTCTCTCTCTCTCTTTTTCTCTCTCATATCTTTTTCTTATTATTATTTTTTTTTTTGTTATTTTTATCTGTTTCGATTTAATATTTACTTTTTTAATTTTTTGGCGTTTTAGGATATACTATTCCAGAGTGCTTTTATTATATAAAAGAAGCAAATATTAATTCGTTCTCTCTCGATCTTTTTCTGTAACTACATCTCTGCATTTGATTGTATTTTATCCCAAGATCTTAAAAAACATTAATTTCATTCGACCGCTCTATGTTATACAATAAAAACCGGCGGACGCGCGATACCGGCGTCCGTTCGATGCTGTCACGATTTGCTCGTCACGACCAAATGAAAGCGAAGAGCGCGCGGTTCCTCCTGATAAGCCTCCGGCGACGGAGGCCAAAGCGGAACCGAGCGGTGGATGAGCGAGAGAAGGACGGAGAACCGCTGCAGGAAGTAACAGCTGGCCGAAGGGATAGCAACATCAGCAGCAACAGCAGCACCAGCAGCAGCAGCAGCAGCAGCAGCGGCGGCGGCAGCAGTACCAGCACTAGAAACAGCGGTGGTAGCGACTGTACCATTACCATCAGCTAGAATACCCCGTCCTCTCCGGGATTCTTGTATGTACATACATGTACGCGTACGAACACGCGCACGGATACATGCGCGCGCGACACGAGCAAAAGACGCGCGTTGCATCGGCAAGATTGCACCACTCGTCGCAGAAGTTGAGTGACAGTCGCGTGCAATCACAACGCGACGCTGATTAAACATTCGCGTGTCGCGCACATGCTCCTGCACGGTCTTTAACCTTGGACGGTAAGAGAACTTTGACAATACCTGCGTGTGTGGCAACCGTCAGCATCCGCGCACCTGTGCACGCCTATATATATATATATATCCTCCTCTTTCCTCCCTCTCCGAAGATTTACGACTGAAAATCATGTGTATGTGTGTGTGTACTTATATTTTAATTGAATGTAACTTTTGTTCCGCAACAACGTGGGATTACAAAGCCCGTTTAAAAGAATTTTCCGAACGTTTCAGTTGATTTTCGTTTGGTTTCACGAAATAATTAAAATATACGGTGTATCAATTGTCGTCAGATATGACAATTGATATTATAATGATTTTACCCCCACGACCGGGGAGAGGTTGAAATAATAATAATTCCGCCTCTCTGTATGACAATAATCACGTTTGTTAATTACTTCATTACAATCTATTTACATAATTACAGTGTTCGCGTATTATTTGCATGTTATTATACCGCGGCCGTACGGCATAATTGCAATTATAAATTTATTTCGGGAGAAATACATAGTTGCGTGACGCGACCCGCGCTTCGAGCCTTTCGGAAGAAAAAAATGAAGAACGTGTGCGCGCGTCCGTGTGATGACGATTCTCGAATCGCGTTCTCGGATAATTAATCTCCGTTTTATCACGTCACCCACTTAATCGTCGGCGCATTGGGACATCGCGATTTAGAATGAATGAATCCTGGATGCTTGCACCCGCATAGGATGGCCATTATTGTGAGATGTATCGCGCTCCGCACGATTCCGTATCGTAAAGTCATCGTCGTTGGTGAGGAAACCCGTACCCTATCGCCACGTCCGGCCGCATTTGAACCGCTCTGAAATCGAAATGCGCGCATCCCGAGAGAATTATTCCTCCTCCCCCTCCTGACAAATTTGCCGATACATGCACCGTGTCCCGATTAAGAGGAAGCGCTTGCCGTTTGCCGCTTAATGCCGATTAATTAAATTCGTTATTTTACTTTGACTTCCGACTGTCGAACGGCTCGCGCAAACGACGTTAACGTTAATAAATCATGACAGCGAATAAATATCAGAGACGCAACATTTATATCGGCGTATTTACGGTGTATTAACGATCGAATAATATTATTACAAATGTTACGGCTGAATATTTACGGATTGCTATTACGAGCGCTGTTTCACCTGTCTCCCCGGCCTCTATACGAGCGGAACAATTAATTCGCCGACAGATAACGGAAGAAGAGAGAGCCGCGCAAGGTAAATTATTTATATATGTATTAAAAAAAAAAAAAAAAAAAAGAACACGACAGTACAAAANTATTATTACAAATGTTACGGCTGAATATTTACGGATTGCTATTACGAGCGCTGTTTCACCTGTCTCCCCGGCCTCTATACGAGCGGAACAATTAAGTCGGGAACAGCTAACGGACGAAGACCAGTCCCGCCAATGTATCGTATGCCGTTTTGTATTAAAAAAAAAAAAAAAAAAAAAAGAACACGACAGTACAAAAGATGCACTTTGAGAATCGATAAATGCTAATTTAACAGACCGCGGCTCGAGAGATTATATAAATCGCGATATGTGTTGCGAGTTAGCGTACACAAACGCACACACAGTTACAGAAATAAATTTTCTTCTTTATTTTTTCTCTATCGCGCGGGAGATGTGCAAACTTCGCTCTCGCAATCGTGGCTTACATAAAGTTGCCGAGGTCATCGAAGTTGATTTTTTCCGTGGGATATCGCGACGAGAAGCGCGCACCCATGTTAAAGCTCCTCGCCTTTATGCAAGCGACGACGACGCTCGAAGGCGCTTGTGTGTACTCAGGCTTCTCTCCGTCATATCGCATAAGCCGTGAGGTAGTTTAGTTTGTCGGGAGTTCAGGTACAGGTAATTACCTACTGGCTACCGGCGTCAGGTGGTAGTGACACAGTAGCGTCGACCTTCTCTCCTTCACCTCTTACTTACTCATCATCTGTCTCCTTTCTACCCTCCCTTTCTCCCCTTTGTCTCTTTCTCTCTCTCTCTCCCTCTTTCTCCCTCTTTCTGTTCTTTCCTCCCTTATCATACGTTTAACACGCACCCACGCAAAAATGTCTCGTGGCGATCAGCTCCATTAGCTTAATGGGACCGTACATATTCTATCGATGGATTGACTGTCTTATCTTGACGGTCATCCCGCGCGTTGTAAGTGCGAAGTTCGAGTGCCGCATCAATTATTCACCACCTCATTACATATATGCTGCCTCGATGTGGGGATTGATTATTTTATCGATAGTTGCGGGATAACTTTCTTTACGTGGTTGTTTTTTTTTGCGCAAATAAAATATAATCAAATAATTTCAACCGATTTAACCGATACTTGGATTTAATCGATTACGCATCTCTCGTGTTGGCGTGCTTATAGCGCCTCGCATTATATAGCATTTTAACGCTCGTTTATGTGATACCTGCGGCCGTCAATTACGAGCGAGCCAAGCGCGCGCGTACAGGTGTAGCGGCACTAAAAGCAGGAAATTTCTCGACATGTGAATTACATCACACGCGATGGCATCTCGTGGATGCAATTGCGACTTCGGTGCTGCGATTACATCGTAATCCCGAGAGGGAAAAACAAGGCGGTCGGGAATAATAGCAAATCGCGTAATTGTTCCTGAAACAAAAGCGCCGAAGAACTATAAATTACACATTTCGATGGATTTTTGCGCACTCTTTGCAAATTCTGTATAGGCATATATTATTGCTTTTGACATCTTTAATTTTTATATCTACTTCGATATTTCAATTTTTTTTAAATAAAATATTTCGACTTTTATAAAGTACGCATACGTTTAATTTGTTAACATTATAAAATATTAAAATGTGGAACTTGTTATGGAAGTTTTAGGCGAAAAATGTTGTAAAATCCTTTTAGAATTAATAACCATAGAATTCCCATATCCCCAGATTAAAAAAAAAAAACAAAAAACTCTGAACGTGAATCTACAGTTGTTGAGCGAATTGTGCCAATAATCTCCGCGATTGATCCGCGATCGCGACGAAACGGCGATTTTCCCGGAAGACTCGCCTCGGCAAAGGACGGTCGTCGCTGTCGATCGTCGTTAAATCCCGAGCGCGCCACGGGGGGTTAGTGTCTGTAACGTTTCGTTATCGGCATACTCGGCATTGCTCTCGTCGTTTTCGCCACGCATGCCGCAGGCGTTTCACGAGAGATAACGCGCGCGCACGGAACGGGAACAAGACAAGGCGGATGACACGGCCCGTAATTGCATGTTATCCGTTGCACCCACGCGCGCGGCCGATGCATGCGCCGTCCGCCAAGCCTCTCTGTATATGAACGTTAATGCAAATATGTGGACGTGAATGCGCGCGCGTTTGTGTTGTTGCGGAAGAGTGTGTGGCGGTCGGATCCACGGCTGCCCGTTCCACGTGCGCCGCGCTTGACGTCCTCAGGATACGCGATACAAAGGACGTTTGCGGCGTCGCCCGTGCCTTTCCGAGCTTTCAATGGTGCCCTTTTGGTCTCAAGTGTAAATAATGCCCGTCTCGCGCTTCGAGAGAACTGGTTTCGCGAATTTATTGAGTGACCCGTCCGTCACAAAGTCGCGCAATAAAATAAATAGCTTTCTCCGAATCGGGAATCGATATGTTGTTAAATGACGATTCTTTGCATTTGCGCGTGGCAAAATGGCAAAGTCTCGGCGACTTGAGATAAAAATAAAAATTTCGTGGTCTCTTTTGTGAAAATAAATGGATCTTAGATCTCAGAGATGTACGAAATAAAAAACAAGTCGAGAATTAACTCCGCCGCTCTAGAAAAATTAAATGTCCGTGCTTGAGAATTCCGAATCTCGTTGCAGCACCCACTTCCTCCTCTTCCTCTTCCGCGCTGCGGGAGAAGTCCTCGCGCGAAGAAACGGCTCAGCCCGAGGCGCACTCGCCCTCCTCGCAGCATCAAAGGATCGTCCAGCAGAAGCAAACAAACGGTTCCCGATCGGAATATAAAGGCGCGTCCAGATCCTCGGACAACGACAGCCCGTTACCCTCGCAGTCGCTTAAACCCGAGCTCGAGGACGGGTCAGCCAATGCCGGGTCTTGCAGGACGGACGAGCAGTGCGATGGCGCGACACCGACAGCGAACGGCAGCGGCGCGTCCAGATGCGTCAGCGGCATTTTCGCAGGACACGGCAAGCTCAAGAGGCTGCTGGGCACTTTGGTGCAATTTGCGACCGACATCTCGGCGGACACGGGCGACACGGTGCGCACGTTGGTGCTCACTCTTCTGGTACGTAGGTGGATGAGACATTCCGATTTTACAGCGGATCTCGGTCTTAGCGCGCAATTGGTTTTTTTTTCTCTTTTTTTATACCAAGCATGTCGAATTTTCTGCTGCAGCGACCGATATGTCTCAATTTTCTTTATCTTGTTTTATTTTTATATGCTTTTTGTATTATTTATGTGTGTATATATTTTTATATATATTTTTATTATTTATTTATTATATTATATATTTATGTATAATAATTAAATTTAAAAGTATAATAGATTTCTTGAGGAATTTTCTACTTTTTTTTTCTTTTTTTATTGATGCACGTATATTCGCTACAATTTATGCTACGTGAACCGTTAGCTTGTGCGGCAATCTCGGTAAGTTTATCTCGCGCGTTCCATCAGATACTCGACCAAGCATCCTCTTATGTTAGAGTGCGCGAGAGGTCTTGCTCACAAATTCTTTCAGTACCAACAATAAGTAAGACACGCAAACCAGCTGGCGTTTTCTGTCGCGCGTTAAAATTGCGGAACACGCAATTATTCTATTACACATGTACGATGTATTATCATTCGCGTATATGCTGTAAACACTTCAGCAGCGGAAAACGCACTTGTACTTAAATGTTATTAAAATGAGCCGCCGACTTCCTCTTTTGATCCGGGAAAAACAAATATGCGTTTCGCAATCTCTCGATGAGAATTTTTATACTTCGTTCGCACAATTCGCGTGTGCCCGTTGATTCTATTACAAAATAATATTTATATATATATATACATATATATGTACGTATATTTTGATGTTGTTGTTGCCATGTTGATTTTATCACAACGATGAGGCCATCAAAATCCGCGGTCCGATTGCGACGGAACCGCGCCGTCCAGATAACGATTTTGCGATGTGCAATGCGTGCACGCACTGGTGGGGAGGATGAAGAGGAGGAGGGAAGTCCGCTCACGAGATGAAAAAAAAGCATAGTTAATCGATGTCGACCGTGCCGTGTCGTTAAACAGCTCGTAAATATTCAAAGTACGTACATAATGCATAATGTCGTCGTGTGTACCGAGCGTGCATACGTCCCGGAAACGTGACATCTGGTGACCGTGCTTAACTGTAAAACGATCGCGGCACGTGACAAACGCAAAACCAAATCCGCGACTGAAGCCGCGCGCGCGAAACGTTCCCCGCGCGTTTCGCCTCGGGATCCGGGGTCTTTTTGCCGAAGATTGCAGCATTACGCGCGCGACGAAACTGCGCGCACACACACACATACACACACACACACACACGCTAACTGTGTGTGATGGCTTGATTGCAGAGTGGTAGCATGACCGCGGAGGAGTTTCATTCGGCGTTACAGGAGGCGACAAACTTTCCGCTCCGAGGATTTGTCCTGCCATATCTTAAGCATACTTTGCCCTCGTTGCAGAGGGATCTGAGCAACGCTGCCAGAGCGAATAATCAGGTAAGGCTGATTTTTTCATTCTATGTTTGTTTTTAATTCACAAATCATTTCTTAGAAACACACAGTCGCAGAAAAAATTGTGTTCAATATTTTGTTCAATATATTATTTTATAAAATGAGAGACATATATCATATATTGCTTTTTATTCGTGTACCACGTGATGCTTCAGAACCCGTCCGGAAAATTTATTTAAAAAAATGTGGCGTATATAAAAGTTTTGATTAATATATCGATGTGACGCAAGTTTATTGTTAGCGTGGGGAAAGAGTATCCATACGAGGTTTCCCAGATTCGACAGACTGTCACAAGGGTGCAATGAGAATAACAGTGATGCCCCTGATCCATAAGCAGTGCCGATGCTTTATTGAAGCCACACCACGGCGGTCATAAATCACTGCGCTCACAGTGTGCAACGTGGCGCGCGTCACGTAACGATGCATGAAGACGCGCATTCCGCGCGCCACAAAAATTGTTATTCACCGCGGGGCAAAGGTCCGTCGGAATAAGTCATATTTGTACGTTTTTCAAACTGAAATTTCCACGAGTCTTTCATGTAGTTATAAAAAATAAAAATAAAAAAAACTTGACCTCTGTAATTTCTTGAATTTGTTTGAAGGCATCTCATTTTATATTAAAAAAAAAAACAACATCGTAAAACAATAAATAGTATTTATTAATAACGGTTCGATGAAACAAATTATAAGACAAAAAACCAGAGAGGTCCAGAGAGGCCCTATGGTCCAAGTTAAAGATAAACCATCAAATGCATCATAAAACGCAGTGTATTCCGAACGTTTCGATCAACTTTATTAGTGATGATTTTCAGCACTAGCTCGACTAGTCATCATCACAAAGACCGCTCAATGCACGCCGGCAAGCACAACGAACCAAAACAACAGATAACATAGACATGCTAAACATCAAAGTATGATGTCTATGTATCGAAGGTTTTTAACTGTTAGATAAGATTAAAAACCGGATTGAAATGTCGCAATACTCGCCAACATACAAGGAAACGGAACAAAGCGCCTTACAAACCATGTAATACACATGGAGAGGTGTCAGAAATAACGCATGAAAATCAAACTCGAAAAATAGAAAGAGGGTGGACTAGTCACGTGTTGTTTGTGCTCTCCTCTTTGTCACGTGACTGTACTTTAGTAGTCACGTTTTTAAAGTCATGTGACTAAAGTGAAGTCACATCCGGAATACACTGCGTTTTATGGTGCGCCATTTGATCGTCCACCTTTAATCTGGATCACTGGCTGTCTGGTTTTTTGTCTTCATTTCGTGCAAACAAAAATCTTATCATCTTATCTTTATCATCCGTTGTGTCTATCGCGCAAGAAACACGCAGTTCGGGAATTTGGCGCGGCTCATGCCGGCTGTTAATAGATACGTTGCGTGCCAGTTCTTTTTCATCGCGCATTCCCCGACGAAGGATCGCGGCGACGAAGAAGACGCCCGCTTCTCCCGCACGACATTACGTCGCCGCAAAACGGCAGATCGATGGCGCATGTGGCCGATCCCAAGAGTGCGGCCGCGGAACGCGCGGCATCCCGAACGAGGGAAGATCGCTGAAGCGTTTGTTATGCGGTTCGCGCCCTTTCCCCAAAGATGCCGCACGTGTTTGATGTCTCTCTTTCGCGTGGATCGCGCGCCGGCCCATAAATTTGTATGCACTACTGCGCCCGGTCGAATTCTTTCACGCGTTCACCTCACCGCGGTATCATGCGACCGGTGTTGCGGCTATTAGAAGCATCACGAAAAGTACGCCTTTGATAACGAACAGACGCGAGAAGAATTTTTTTTATCGCTCTCTCTCTCTCTCTTTCTCGTCTAATTACATAAGCCCCCGAAACAAAACAAAAAAAAACGAACGGAATAAATCTTAATTAAAATATGAAAATCTCGCACGATGAAGACTATAAGTACTTGGAGTTGATTATTCATTAGTTAAATTTTAAGGCCGAGCTCTCTAAGCGACCGCTCACACAGTTGCCGGTTTCCCAGATTATAAAAAGTTACTTTTCAAATCGGGACGGCAGTGCAATGTATGCAATTTATTTTTATTTTTTTTTTTTTAATACGACTTGTGTATAAAGTTTCGAACGAATTTGATAAATCGCAATGTTTGTCTCTCGCAATAATATCTACCGTGTGTAAAAAGTTACAAGTCGAGCATGAGTGTACGATAGAAATATGATATTTTGTTTGATCGATCTCTCTTATTTCGATACCGCACAGCGAACGTTGAATGACGCGAAAATTACAAAGTAAACGACACGATCCCGTCGGAGAGAGCGGAATCGTTTTTGAATACACCGTGGAATCTGCGTGAGAAATTGCGTGTGAGGATGGGACACGCGGTACTGTGTAACGAGCGCGTCGCGAAAGCGCGGGAGTGAAAACCCGGTAAAATCAACAGAGAGGCAAGGCCGGAGCCGGCTGGGCGGGCTGTTTTAATTTCCCAGGCTACTTTCCGATCGTCGGTGGGAGCGCACCCGTCTGTTCCAAGATGGATGGACGAATGCACGACTCCGCGATGTAGCGAACGAGACGAGCGACGCGAGGGAAAAAAAAAAAAAAAAAAGCGGCAAGCCTATATACGGATTTTTACTCTCTTTCTCTCTCTCGCTCTTATCGTCGAGAAAACGCCACGGAGATATACACGCGAGATATACGTAGGGGGGTTTAAATGTCACGCGATATCGCGCGTGATACGCGATCACGTGCGTACGTGTGCGCTCGACCGTATCTATACGTAAATTGCGATCAATAATTTGTAGATATGTAATAATTGATTGACCGATTCTTTTGTCATCAAACATCATTTTCTCGCGAGAAACTTTGAAGAAAAAAATCGATAGGTGTACTTTAAATAGATATGTAAAGTGGCAGTCGCATAAATTTGTGCAAAATCTCCAGAGCTCTTTTTTTTTTTTTTTATGAAAGATATTTTAGGCTTTGGTAGAAGGAAATTGTGCAAGAGAGGGAGGAAGCGATTAAATAACGCTGCATTTTAAAGAATTATATCGGCGGTGCTCGCGCGAAACTGTTGGTCCGTAATTGTACATATAATCTCGTTCTTAAAATTATCCCTTTACACGTACCGTCCTTCCTTCCCGTCCCTTATCGTTAAATCCGCGGATGTACGATTTAATCCTTATATGCTGAACACCGTTCGTGTGTGCATTGGCCGATTCGAATATTCCGGTCCGGCGTTCTCGCGCGATTATTTGTCTGCCAAAAAGTACGAAAAGGAAAGGACTTTTCGTATTTTAACGAGACGATATTGCGTTCATGCGGAATTTTGCGTCGAAATTAATGTCGAAGAAAATGCGCTTTTTGTTTCTCTTTATGCAAATCTGTGTGTCGAAAATAAGAATATTTGTGCGAGAGATCTCTTTGGACGTTGAGAAAAGAAGGAAGAGGGCGGGGAAAGGAGCATTTGCGAGTCGCAAGTTTCAACGTGGGCGAGCTCGTCGTTTTCAATCGATATACACGCGGCGCATCTTTAATTTCCACGACGCCGCGAAATTCGAGCGCGCGGGGGATTAATAGCAGCCGCGCCGCTTCCCGCTTATGCTACTGTCCGCAGCTGTTGCCCGTCTCGAAGGCGAGTGAAACGGAAAGAGTCGAGGCGCGGGCGCCAGTGCGACAGAACGTTCACGGTGAGGTAACGAATTGCAAATTAATAGCGGACATTTACATTTCTGCCGGCGCGCGATGAGGAAGGCGCGCGCGTGAGGATCGAAAGTCGCAGAGAGGCGCGCGTCGCGCGACGACTCGGTTTTCCAGTTTTCCGTTCTCTCCTTCGTGACGACACTCGACTGTGTCATATACATGTAAATCCCGCGAAATTTCTTGCGAGATTTATATTTCGCGAAATGTCGTCAAAACACACCTCGCATTCGTTTGAACGTACGTCTTGACTAATTTTCTGGACTTTTTTGGATAAATAATTTTTTTGTTTTTTACATATGATTTTCTAATGTATGCAAAGAATTTGATTTGTTCGATTTTTTTATATCTCAAGGTATCACCTCGTCGATAATTAAGCGGAAGCTTCGAGACAACGAACTGTCAAGTACAAACGTTTTCACACGCACGCACATACACACACACACAAACACACACATTGCCTAAGTGATTATCGCGTGTATGCCGATCGATGATCGTTAATTGCAAGTCGTGAAAGCGAAAGAGACCGAAAAGGAAGGGAACGAAAAGTGGCAAAAGGGAGATTGGAAGGTACCGATATTGAATTAGAAGCGATAAATCCCACCCCTGCCGTGCCGACTTCGATATTGGGGGCAAGAGAGAGGACTCCACGAAGAGAACTTCGACTACCGGGCGTACCCGAATGGCAGAAACGACGATAAAGAAAGCGGTGAAACGAATATTAAAAGTCGAAACCGATGTGTGATTGGGTAGGGCCAATCAATCTTTGGCTTGCGAACCTATTCGGGGAAAAAACTTGATCGTAACACTAGCATCCTAATGCGTTCCTATTTTCCGATGGTTGACATCGGATTTATTTTTTGTGAAATTTCTTATTGCACGTACAATTCGAAAATTTATTTTACCGACACCGTTATTTTAATATTAAACATGATATTGAAAATATATATTGATTATATTATTTTACTGATCATTATAATATAAATATATATTTATATAAAATATTCTTGTATAAATATATATATATATATATATATATATATATATATTACATATATTTGTACATGTAAATATATATAACGGAAAGGAATTAATGAGAATGTACCCAATACGTACCTTGTGTTTGCAGAGCTGTGCGCAATTCCTCCGGTCCAACGAATCCGCTGTCCTGGAGGCTGTCGGGCTGGTCCCGTCCGGCGAATCCGTCGAGGTCTTTGGCGAGCACGGCGGCGCGAACGGGATCGCGGGTGGTAATCAATGCTCCGCTCATTACGCGATGCGCTCGAATTCTAATCCCGGCGTGGGCGCAATTCAGCACGCGGCGGGCAGTAACACCGCGGGCGCGTTGCATCATTATCCTGGCGCGGCTCACGCACCGAAGCGCCGTGCCTCCGACACCCCGTAAGTCGCAAACAGAAACCAAGTTCAGGACGGATGGTTTTTTCAGGTTGTAAATGATTTCTCGGGAGCGCCGAAGCGGATTGTACAAAGTATTATTTTTTTTAATTTGTTAAAAAATTTCTCTTCAAGTCGATTACGCAATTGTTTTGTTTGGTTAATATTGTATAAGCAGATAGAGTACGTGTTGTGAAAAATAACTGAACGACGTTGTTACTGATCTCGTATCAAGATCATGTTTCGCACGAAGCTTGTCTTTGCGAAGAGATATATCGTGATGCAACTATCGGCTTGAATAATAGAACGCGACACAGTTCCGAGGACGAATGTGCACATTTCTCGTATCGTCGGGAAATCGTTCATGGAAAATTGCAGCGCAAAATTATCTTCGAATTCGGTGTATGTACGTGGGATCGTGCGTCTTCTTATTTATAATTTTACGGCACGTACATCACGTCTCTCGTAAAGTTCGCTCTCCACGCGCGATCACAACGCGGAGGAATATCATCTGTAGTTACGGCGAGAGTCGTAAATTATCTCGCTGAGATCGCGCCGCGGCGAAAGATCGCGCGGAATCTTCTCGCTCGTCCAACTGCAATAACTCGCACGCGAATGACGAAACGCCACGCATCTGCGCGTACACGCGCGCCTATTACGCTTGCCAAACCGCAGAATGCCGTCGTTTCGGAAAAAATCTTGGCCGCCGGCCGCCTGCACTTCTCGGCGGCATTTATCGCGATCGAACGGCCATTAATGCGAAATTCCCCGCACAGCGACGCTCAGCACAATTTGCTCATATTCGGTAATTCGCGCGCGAAAACGATTCTCAAGCTACTAAAAAAAAATCTTAAAAATAAAAGAGCTTGTACAGTAAGAAATGCCGCGTCATCAATTTTTCGACGACTTGTAAATTTTCTTAGCGCATCAGTTTTTTTCACATTTGTGCAAACAACTTTTTTCTCTCTCTTTTTCAAAAAAATCTATATATGTCGGCGTGATTGAGCTATTTCTTAATGCGCGCGTTTCACGGTGTCATCGCCAATGCGAGTGCCGAGGTGTTGATGAAATCAGTGCCGGACGACTGGAATTTCCGGTCAGAATGATATGTAGACGAGGGGGGAGAAAGAGGCGGTGTGTGCGGAGGGAAGGGGGGCAGCGAAGCGAATACGAAGGCGACAAAACGCGGTGTGCGCCCTGGCAATGCCACCCTGGCCTCCTCTCGATATGTCTGCCGGTGACGTTTCCATATATCATCGGGGCACCACCTTTCCCGAGCGACCCCTCGCCGCGCCCCTCCGCGCGCGAGCCCAAACCACCCCCGTCGCCCTACCACGAGTACCTCGACGAACTTGCCTCGAGTGCCTATCGGCATCCTGCTAATACACACCACGGCGCACACGTGTTGACGAATAGTATAGGTGTGCACATAGGTCTCTATACGCAGAGAGACCCGGCGTCTTTGATTTCGCAGACAATTCTCGCGCGCAATGCCGGATGCCCGAACAATGTGCAAAAGATGTTCTATGGCGAGCGGAGAATCGAGGGAGTTAAAGAATTTACATTCCAAGAGAAAAAGAGGGAGAGAAAAAGATATTCTAAAAAGTGAATGAAATATATCTAATCTTTTTCTTCGCGAGTTTCTTCCAATTTTAATTATGACTGTTTTTAGTAAAAACAATTTTAAATAAATGTTTTCTCTTCATACTTTTGCAAAATACTTCGCAGGTACTACGAGAACGGTGCGCTCCTAGACGACATGCCGGTGTACGGCAAGAGGTCCACCAATCCGTGGAGCCATCACCATCAGCAGCAGCAACAGCAACAACAACAACAGCAACCGACGGATCCGTCTTACTGCTGGTATCATCCGCTGCATTCCTCGAGCGGATCGATTCAAGGTCACGCGCACGGCCACGGCCACGGGCCAAGTCCGTTGCCGCCTAGTCTCGTGCAGATTAATCAAATAAATGCGTTCTCGACGCCGCATCACCTCGCGCAACAGCCGCAGCAGCCGATGAGCCACGGGCTGCAGATCCAGAACGGCGGCAGTCTCGACGACGAGTGGAAGAACATCCACGTGATGCTCAACTGCATCCTCGGCATGGTTGAGAAGACCAAGAGAGCGCTGGCGATCCTCCAGCGACGAGGATGCTCCAGTCCAGCGGCTGCGGCACCACCACCGGGTATGGTCGCGGCGCAAAATGGCACAAGCAACAACGCCAATGGCAACAATCCCTCGTCGACCAACGGCGCGCAGGTCGAGTCGTCCACTAACGACCGAGACGGTAGTTTGAAGCGACTTTCCGGGGAGATCGTCGCGCAAACGATCAAGGCGACCGAGGACAAAGTAGCCGAAGTCAAACGAAGAGCCGGTCGGTATCTTCGTTATATTTTATGTTAGATTGTATTGTTTTTGTTTGTTTACGAATACTAACACAAGGATGTACATGCCAATCGGAAGTTGATTTGATTGGAAATTACTTTCATAGAAGAAGCCGTGTTGGAAGTGAAAAGAGCCGCAGTGGCAGAAGTGCAACGTGCCGTGGCTGTTGCGGTCGCGGAATCCAGAGCGAGCGAACGTTTGAGGGTTCATCGGCTGTTGGATCTTCCGATGTCCCAGAGGAACCACAGCAGTCTGCGCCAGAGCTCCTTCCTGAGGGTTCATGGAAGTTCGAGCGCGGTCGAGGCCAGGACGACGCCAACGACAACATCAAACTCGGCGCCGTCGACCACCGAGGACGAGAAGGATATACATCTCACCAGCGTAATGGGATCCGTAAGTACGATCGATCGATCTCTCTTCGGAGAAACTCTGAAGAAAACATGTCAAATCCTCGTTTCTTTTTCTTCTAGAGCTGTTGGAATTGCGGCAGACCCGCTCTGGAGACCTGCGGCGGCTGCGGAATCGCACGATACTGCGGCTCCTTCTGCCAACATCGCGACTGGGAAGCCGGTCATCACACGACCTGCAATAATCTGCCGCCGCGCGAACCGCGCAGATCGGCCTCGCGCAGTCCGCCGAGAATCACGACCGATCCGCGCAATCTCTCCGCGAGCGTGAACGAGGTCGACGCCACGCCGGTGCCGTCCGTCGGAGTCTCGAAGGGAAAGTGACGTCGCGGCGCGAGAAGCAATACGGGGGGCCGCAACCCCGTTAGAACGATTGACTACGAGTCGCGTTGAGAGATTTCCAGGACTGCTCTGCAAAAAAAAAATCGATGAATTAAAACCGAGAGGAATTTATTCGTGTAAAATCAAACATCAATTTTCAAAATCGGAATTTTACCATTTCGTTTCCATTCGTTTCCCGTCGCTTCTCGGAAAGCAGAAAAAATCGATTTCCATTTTTTTGGAAAATAAAATATTCACACGATCGCGAGATAAAATTCCTGCCAATGCCGCTTTAATTAATTTTTTTGCAGAGTTCCCTGATCATACATCTTCTGCGTACTCTCTCTCTCTTTCTCTCTTACGTTCTTTCTTTTTCCACGAAACCGACCAGAGATTTTCTTCTTGACATGCTCGAAATTTCTATTGTAATTTTAACATAAATCGCTGAAGTGATTCTAATCTAATTGATAAAAAAAAAAAAAAAATATTGGAGTCTCCTCGAGGATTTGTACCGTTCAAGTGTATACATGTATCGAGAATTTTAAAGTTTACGCTTTCGCGCCACTGAGATCAAACGTGATCATTAAAAACGGACATGTGTGCGAGAGCGAGTAAACTTCTTAGGTAACTCGATTTACACACGCGCCTCGAGTAAAACGTCGGGAAGTTTGATAAATGTGTGCTTCGAGACTTCACTTCAATTGATTGCAAAACGGGCAAACTGATTTCGCGTCAAATAGCGTAAACCACGTAGGTGTTTTGCGTTTTTCCGGATATATATAGATAGAGCCGAAATATAATAACGCACAGCACACACTGTCGTAAATGTACACGTGTTTATCTCATCATCGTGTCAGCCGTTCTTCTTTTCATCTCTTCTCTCTCTCTCTCTCTCTCTATCTCTCTATCTCTCTTTACCGAAGTATCACACAGATCTCCACTTATTATCTAGAATTACATCAAACAATAGAAAATAATATGCGTGTTTTCTCACAACGGCTTTCGCGCAACCGAGAGAATTAATAATAGATAAAACAATTGAATTCAACGAGTCGGGCAAATGTGCGCGTGTTGCGTAACGAATTTTTCGTTACTGTTCCGAGTCGACATTATTAGCAATAAAAAAAAAACAAAAAACGTAGCGTTTACGGAGATAAACTCTCTCTTTCTATTAGAGTAGAGATTTCTTTCGCCATTAGCGAATCAAATTCTTTACGACGTACTTGTCTAATTAGCGAACTTTCACGCGATTATAGCGAATGCATTTTTCTTTCTGCACAAACTCGGCACAGAAAAAAAATTCTTTTTTTTTTTCCCTCAGACGTGTGTCAAATACACGCGATGATATATTATAAAAATCCACGAGACGTTGTGCACGACTTGATATAAATTTTTTATCGATACAACTTTTCGTGTCTCGATGTCTTAACGCCACAGATTATGAAAAAAAAAAAAAAAAAAACAACACGTGTGTCGCGAGAATAAAACGCATCACGTATTTAACACACACATACATACACACACATAAAAACCACGCGATTTGATTTCGTCTCGAAACGCTTCGTTCGCGAAGTCACATCGATTTTATCCTAGTCAATTGATAAGTTTAATAAATTGCAACGACTAGCGTAACGAATCTTTTACTTCGCGCACACACACACACCTCAGGATAAACGATTATCATGTATTATATATATTTAAGTCTCTAGTCACGCGGGAGGATAAAAGCAGATTTTATCGATTATATACGAGTTTAGAGAACTTTGCTCAAATCTAGACTACGAATTGTTGTAATTTTTCCTAGACACATTGTGTTGCGGGGATGTATGATGGATATATTATATATATAAAATGTATTTATAAACTAACAAAATATATATGGATTATTCTATGTCTCAGAACGACGTTTTTTTTTATTACACACCTTGTCATTTTTTTTCAATGATTTCAAAAAAGATATTGCCATTTATTTAACGGAAAAAAAATGAAAGTCACTATAGTCCGCTCGTGAAATTGTCAATAATAAGCAAAGGACCAATACGAGCCAGTGAATAACTATAAAAAATGTTTACAAAGTAATTAAAATTGCCAACAAAATTTAGTTTATAATAAACAATAACAAAAATTGATCTTTTCACTCAAGTATTCAAAGCAGATAAGTTGTCAGCATACAAAAATAAATAATTATCTAAGTATTGGTCGATTAAAATTGTTCATTGAAAAAGATCCAACTCAGGGATCGAAACGTCTGATCATGTTTTACAATAAAATCATATCTTAACACATGGACATTCTGTATTGGACCTTTACCTCTTATTTAAAAAAAACATAACATTAAATATAAATAAAATTGCGTTATATTATATTTTTTTCCCGATTTATTTTTTTCCGATAATATCAGCAAACAGCGCTTGGGTCTTGTCTCCTTTTCTCTGCGCGTCCATCCAATCTTTTTTGTTTCTCGCGAACAGAGAAACGTCCAGTTTGTTGAAGATGATCTTGCTCGATTGTGTGGATCTCAAGGATTCACCGGCCGCGACCAATTCTTCCATGATGGTTTGCTTTTGGTTCATATTCGCCGACAACCACATCTTGTCCAAACATCTGGATCCGTACTTGCTCTTGGCCAACTCCTCCCAAACACCGCGCAAAACCTTGTGCAACTTCTCCCTGCTCTTCTCGCCGATGTACTTGCTGTCCATGAAGGCGTCCAGAATGTGACTGCCCATCGCATTGTCAAATAACCGTAACAATTGTTCGTTGTTCATTGCGAGTATGGAGTTGACGAGTTTGATAGGCTTGTTAAAATTCAGGATAGCTTGCGTTATCAGACTACCGTGCAACGTGAGAGGCGGATCGTTCGACTCCTTCAGTTGAGTCGAAGTCTTCAAAGTTACCATACATCGTATCAGTTGTGTCGCGTCTTCGGTTTTGTCGCACTCCAGCAGCTTGATTATCGCGGTGACGAATGCGCCCTGCTTCGTCTGCAATCTCGCGCAAGCGTTTCCGATACTGACCAGTATACCGGTGAAACCCAGCTTGAAAATTTCCGGCAGATGTTCCGATATTTCTTCGAATATTTGCTCCAGATTTTCTTTGGTGCTGCAGCGATCCAACAGTCTCTGCACACTGAAGTTTGTAGTTTGCGCCAAAGACATCATCTTTAACTTTCCAGCGAAGAATGTTTTATACAACTTCTCGTAAGACTTCAGATCCGCGGTTATCAGACAAGTTTCCAATAGCCTGATGGAAATCTCCTCGGAAGTTGTATTTGCTAGATCCTCGTTTTGAAACGATGGTTTTATCTCGGAACAAGTTTTTATAATATTGCTAATAATGGCGTTTATTAACTTGGAATTGACATCTTTCAACGAGTACAAAATACAGTGCACCAAGAAACATTGTTTGTTCTGTGTAAGCTCGTAAAACTGTGGCCATTTGTGCAATCGATTACAGGTTTGCACCAACAGATCCGTATACTCCCGTATCACGGGACGTCTGTTCGCGAGGCAGGTAGCGGCAGATTTCTTACTGTTCTCACTATCAGGATCAATTAAACCTGCTAGACATTCTATGGCTGTACATACAACGTGACTGGCGTACGTGTCAGACACGAACTCTTCCACATTATTGAGGATATATTTGCTCAGCTTCAAAACAATATTGTTGTAAACTTTTACCTCGTCCGGCTCAACAACAGCGTCTTCCTTGCTCTTCATCTTGTTCTTTGCAGCTTTGTCTTTGTCCAAAATCCTGTTACCTCGATCGGCGCAGACCTCTATCATCTTCTGTAGAACGTGACTGGCAAACTTGTCGTTCAGAAGTTTCCTCAGAGAAGACTCAAGCGCTTTCATCAATCTCTGAATGTCTTCCAGACTAGCGTATTTCAGGAGAGAGTCCATGACGCGCGATCCAATTTGACTGCAGGCGTATTCGACCTCACGACCCGCCATTTCTTTGTAGACATTCTTCACGAACAACGTCCGCTCGTCGGACGTGGGGAAATCCTTGCGTATCACGTCGACGATACGCAGCAAATAATGATAGGTATCCTGGTCCAGATTCTGCCCGGACGTGTCTGTCCGACGTCGAGCGAATTTCTTCGCCATTTGTGCAGACGAACGTTTCTTCTTTCGCTTCTTTCCTTCGGTCTTTCGCACTTCCGACATGTTTTCAAATTGGAATAACTAACGTATACTGTTTCAAAGATAGAGAAATTACCTTAACCTTGTACACGGCAAGTCTTTTACGTACTTGATGCACATGCTACACGTGAAGTACTCTAACCTAACCTAACCAAACTAAACTTACACGCATGCGTTATAGCACCGCGTCATCTCGTGTATAAAAGCCTATTCACATAAGACGCAGACGCGCAGGTCTTGCAGAATTAACCAATCACGTTGATCAAATCGATCTCAACATGTGTTAATAAATATATCAACTCTATCATATTATATATATATATATATTTTTTTTTTTTTTGACTTATTTATCACGTATATTGCATATGTGCATATATCATATGCGCCGAGTTCAATGAGAATTTTCGGTCTGCGAATAGAAGCGGGCAAAATGAAAATAGCGCTACTTAGTATATACCGTAAATACGGCACACTTGAATCCGAACTTAGAAATTTGAGCGAGTGAAATAACGCAATGTAAATTTAAATCGTAATTAAATTTAATCATAATCTGACATAACACAATAAAATACATATTCGTGAATATGTATTTCTATATGAATATGCATATATACATATAGAAAATAATCGAGCCATCTAATAAAAGTTCACACATCCTGAATACTTACAACACAGAATAGAATTAAAAATCGCTATCAAAGACATCGGAATCGCTATCGAAGGTCCTGTCTGTAACAGTAATTACTGTGTGAGAATTATTTGCTAATGATGCATCTATCAATGTATCAGCTATATTGTCGACCTCCCACATCTTTTTCTCTTCATCTCTGACTTGCTTAATACATTTACACCAGTTTTCAGCTGTTATCTGTTCAATACCTTGGTTGAGTAATAGTTGTACATCTTCTAGATTATAAGTAGTATTGTTATCTCTCACATATTCCTTAACCATTGCCCATATTATTTCAATCGGATTGAGTTCGCAATAATGTGGAGGTAATCTGAGAACCTTCTTATTATTTGCTCTTGCTATTTCTTCTATGACATATTTATCAAACTTGTCTTTGTCGTGTGTAACAATTTGCAATAGTTCGGCCTTTGTCATATTCTCTAATACTTCTCTTCCTTTATTTTCCAACCATCTTATTATATCGGTTTTTTTCCAGGAAGTATTCGGCAGGTTTTCCTTCTTCGTAGAATAATACGTAGCGTTGTTCACGACAATAACAGCTTTCTTTTCTAGTAATGGTAAAATATTTTCAAACCATTGAAGAAATGTGTCGCCGCCTATTTCATCGTGGTGATCTCTTGTATTTTTTATCGATTCGAAACATAGAAGTCCGTTAGAAACAAAACCAGCAGCACTGCCAATATGCAAAACAATTAATCCTTTGTCTTTTTTTCTTGGAGTAGCTGGTTCCGCAGTCAACTCTTCTTCTTGGAGAAATGCGTTTTTCTCAGGTGTTTCATCCTTCGACACTTTATTTGTGACGTCACCACTACTAATCCAAGTCTCGCCCATGTAATAAATGTGTCGACCCTCTTCTCTAAATCTCCTAATAGATCTCAAATAGTTTCTCCTCCAAATAATAATATCATCTCTTTCTGTTAGAACGCGATTAGTGTAAGTAAAGTTTAGTTCTTTTAACAATGAATAGAAGGTTGTTTGTTTAAAGTTTGGCAGATTTTCATCATTGTTTACAGCTTGCAGAAGTTTATTTAACGTTGGTAGATCTTTATTAAAATAAAATTCGTGAACTTTTCTCCGAATGGCAGTTTTGTCACATTCGTCGACTTTTTCTTTGAAAGTTGGACGATGTTTCGTTTTATTTGGAGATGTAACTGTATGTGAACGCTTATATTCCGACAATATTTTTCTTACACTATGAGTTCCAATACCTCTGTCTTCTGCCAATTGATGAACAATATCTTTATATGAAATTGTTGGGTTATTTATTTTTAATTTTTTGTACAAATTGATAACTAGGATTCTCTGATCTCTGTGGGTCATCTGAAAGTACAAATAAAAAAGATGAAAGACGTTTGACAAAAAAGCAATAACCAACTTTGAAGATATAATTTTAACTATTTTTTTTGTATCAAAACAATATTTACTCATTATAATCAAATCAATTTATTAAATTTCTACATATTTTTTTCACAGTAAACTCATACCAAAAGACATTCTAAACTTGAGAAAACTATATAATTTACTTTAAGTATATCTAACCTCTAATATGCTACAAATTATTTATTTTTATTCATCGTTTACCTTGCCTGGTTTGTTTTTCTTCACAGAAGATGAAAACGATAACATTTCGATTGTTGATTCTTTTCTTTCATCATAAAAGATTTTCTAAATATTTCACTTGTAAAACAAAACCTCTAATACTTATTACACCGAATCCAAAGGCGCAATTAGTGACACATCACAAGAGTCATTCAAACAAGTTCCGCGGAACTGACCGATCATATTAGTCGATTGACTGATTTGACCAACGTAATTGGTCAATTCCGCGAGATCTGATACTTGCGACACGAATCTGCGTTTTATGTAGATAGGCTTTAATGTGTATGTGATACAAGCTTAATTTAGGAATATCGCGGTTAACAACAGTATTGCCATCTGGCTAGGGTAAGCTAAAACAAGAATATTTAAATATCGAATATTTAAAATTAAAAAATTACAGAATAAATGTTCAAAATTAAATTACACCTTAAGTCTAAAACTTTTATATAACGCATATATGTATTATATATACAATTAGATGATACAAATTTATGTGAATATAATTCATACATGTACATAGTTCATATAATTTATAAATTTCTATTCCTACCAGATGTGTCTACTAACGGAATATGTTAAAATAAAAATAATAGCGTGCGCGTAGCGCGCGTCTGTGTTGTGCTAGTTATACAAAATAATATTTATCTTCTCTTTTGTATGTACTTATCTTACATAATATTATTGCATAATTATATACTCATTTTCGTCTGAATTACCAGCAATATTAGATTTACACAGAAAACCTTTTTCCTGTAGCGACATCGAAATGTAATTAGAATTACCTGCGAAAGAATCTCCCTGTGTACAGTCTTCGGTAATTTGTAAACTTGTCACAATTGTGGAAATCTCTCTATTACACCATTTTTTCGGATTTCTATTTCTAAGAAACATTCAAAATTGAATTGTTTTAAATGTTGTATTTATTTTCAATTACCTCATTAAGAAACACACACACATCTCAAAATTTTAGATGCACGTACCTATCTTCCATTGTACGTTCTGGTTTACGCTTATTACGTCGTGGTGGTAATGGTGGAGGTTCTATTTGCAGATTATTATTGCAATGAATTGCATCTATATTTTCGTAATCAGTAACGCATGTTCTTGATTTAGAAGGATATGTGTTGTCCAGGATTTCCTCGTAAACTCCGGAAGAAATAGAAATATTTGATTCCTTGTGGCTATTAAAAAAGATGTGTGTATTAGTACAAATTTCCTTATAAAAAATTATAAATACAAAATATTTTCTATGATTTTAGTAAGAGTATTTCTAAAGTATTAACAATACATACCAATTGTTGATCTCTATATTAAGACTCTGAAGTGGTACATTACTTCTTAACTGCGATGAAGGATTAATGACTTTATGTTGAGTCAAAGCCTCACGATTCTCATCATTAAAATCCAAGGACTTCAGCTTGCACTTTGGACCGCGACCCTGTGTTACTAAATCCAATAACAATTTATCAGCGTCTAGACAAAACAGATAGAGTTCTCCGATGCCACAGCGAAACTCCTTGGTAGTGTGTATCACACAAATACGTTTCACATCCTCAGGACGGCCTGCCGTTATCAAGTGAAACTGACTGAACTCCTTCCATTCGAAAGCTGCAGTTGTTTCACCGGTGAAAACATTTTTAACGCAAAGTCCTCTTTCATTGACAATCAGGTCTCCGTACAAACCTAACCAGAGAATAATAAACGTTGTAAATTGACGGAAATTTTCTCATTGATAGATAAGACAAAATAAACGTAAGTGTGTGTTTTACTAACCGGTCAAACCTGCTGTCTTTGAATGTACGTTATCAACTATAGACACATTGTAACACTTTTCCGCGCAATGATGCCGTCTAGGTCTTAATAAATGTCTGATATTCGCCATCCATCGCTGCGTCTCGGTTTCCGAGGTGGCCGACAACGACAGCAAGGGTTTTCTGTCGGTCGCCGGTGATACGCAGAACGCGAATTGTTTCGTTTTCGAGTTAATGCGATGCACGACGGCGTTCGAAGGTATGATTAAGGAATTGCTTCGCTCGGGAGCACTGCGACCGAACGTGTTGTTGAATTGTATCTGCACAACGGAGTCGGATCCCAGTTTCTTCACGGTGCACCAGTATCGTTTCCAAACTTTCGACAACATCAAAACCTTCTTTTTCACTTTTCCGCTCTTAATGTGTTTGTTGCTCGTGAATTTAACATCTAAAAATCCACAAATCTCCGCGTCAGGCGTCGCCATTTCCTGCAAATTAAACGGTATACTATTTGCTGTTTATTTCATTCCGAATGTGTTTAGGTCTAGTGTTGTCGTCGATCTGTCACAACAGCTTGCGTGCGGACACGTACGACACGCACGCTGCGCGACGATATAACCTCGCACGTTTCTCGTAAGAAAAACTCTTATCGTGAAGGGAAAATACTATAGATTTTTCGAAATATAGTTCGATAAAAACTGGTAGATAAGCGACACGCTATTTTTCTTATTGCGCTTTTAGATTTTTACATACAGAAAAAAATGCGCAATGTTATTTCTAATTTATTACACACAGAAATCAGATGTTTAATTCGCAATGTAAACACTGTTAAATGCCAAAGGTTTGTTAATAGAACGTAATTTAATTTCATCAAATATTTTCAACAAATTAAATAAAAGTTTTTATATAAAATACATATTCTCTGTGCGCGCACACACATGGGAAGAAAATGAAATTTACGTTATGGTTTTACAGAAGGTGGATATACTCGTCAAAAAGATATTGCGCCAAAGCGACGACTGAACTAGAATACAACGTGCCAGTTGAGAATATTCGTAATTTCAGTATAATCGCACATGTGGATCACGGCAAGAGTACACTGGCGGACAGGCTTCTGGAATTGACCGGAGCCATAAAAGCGAACTCGGGCAAGCAAGTCCTGGACAGTCTACAGGTGGAGAGAGAACGCGGAATTACTGTGAAGGCGCAAACAGCCTCCTTGTTCCACATATATCAGGGAAGGAAGTATCTCCTGAATCTTATAGATACACCAGGTCATGTGGACTTCTCCGCGGAGGTTCAGCGATCCTTGGCTCCGTGTCAAGGAGTCATACTGCTGGTCGACGCAAACGACGGCGTCCAGGCGCAAACGGTGGCTAATTATTATCTAGCGCGGCAAAAGAATCTCGTGATAATACCGGTAATCAACAAGATTGATCTAAAGAATGCAAATCCTGAGAAAGTAAAAATGCAATTGCAAACATTACTGGACGCAGACGACGTAGACGTTATCAAAATATCCGCCAAGTTGGGTACCGGAATCGAAAACGTTCTCGATGCTGTGGTAGAGAAAATTCCACCGCCCACGGTATTCAGGGACAATCCCTTCAGAGCGCTTATATTCGACAGCTGGTACGACAAACACCAAGGTGCGATTTCCTTGATTTATGTGAAAGACGGAACATTGTCGGTTGGCAAACAAATTGCTTCGGCCTACATGAAAAAGTCGTACGAGGTTCGTAATATATTTCTCCTTAGACCTCACGCGGAGAACGTGAAGACAATGTAAGTAAATCAAACTTTTAAATTTCTATTTTTTTTTTGTTTTTTAATACATTATACACGTCATTTCAAAATGTCTAGATTTGCTGGTCAAGTAGGTGCCATTTCGTGTAACATGAAGTCCAAGGAGGCTCACATTGGTGACACTTTGCATCTGCGGAATGCGCCTGTCGATCTCTTAGAAGGATTCAAACCACCAAAACCAATGGTGTTCGCAGGCGTGTATCCGATAGATCAGTCGGAATTACCTTCCTTGCAAGCTGCCATTGAGAGGCTTACGTTAAACGACAGTGCTGTCACCGTCACTCTGGAATCGAGGTACAAACTTTGTACATTTTAATGTTTATATTGACACTGCAGTGTAACGTCCAGTCGTGATGTCGCATTGATGAAATCGTTTTCCTCATGACATTAAATCGCACGTTGTAGCGTCGCGCTGGGAAAAGGATTTCGCATTGGCTTTCTAGGCTTGTTGCATATGGAGGTCTTCATTCAACGTCTTGAACAGGAATACGGAGCACAGCCGGTAGTTACCGCGCCTGCTGTCACGTACAAAGCAAAGATTTTTGGAAGTAAAAATATAAAAAAAATCCACAACGACGTGATAACTTTTAATAATCCAGCACAGTTTCCGGATCGTCAGATTGTTAGCGAATTTTACGAACCCATGATCATAGCGACCATCATAACGCCAAGTATATACATATTCTGTTTTAACAAGCATTGTTCAATTTATTCGAAATCAAATGTGATTCACTTTATTGTAAATTCAAAGATTCAATCGAAGATTTGCAGACGACCATAATTTTAATTATTTCAAAAACTGTGCAGCTGACTATGTCAAAAGTATCGCGGCACTTTGTTATGAAAAACGAGGCGAAGAAAGAATGAACAAGAACATTGGCAACGACAGGCTTATGCTGCAGTACATGATGCCATTGAACGAAGTGATCCTCGACTTTCACGATTCCTTAAAGAGCATAAGTTCCGGTTACGCCAGCTTCGATTACGAGGACTACGATTATCAACCATCTGACATAGTGAAGGTAACAAATATTAACTAACGAGTAATCTTGGTTTTATTTTTTTTACACGTTCTTTCTCCCTTACACGTTCAAAATTTATACGTTTGAATGATATTTTTGAATTTCAGCTAGACATTCTTTTGAATGGGAAAGTAGTGGAAGAGTTGAGCATAATCGTACATAGACGGAAAGCGTTACAAACGGGCAAAACACTGTGCACCAAACTTTTGGACACTATTCCGCGACAGATGTTCGAAATAGCGATCCAAGCGGCAGTCGGGAACAAAATACTTGCGAGAGAAAATCTGAAGGCTTACAAAAAAGATGTAACAGCAAAATTAGTAAGTATAAATTATATATTAATAAATAAATACGTATGCACGATGTGTGTCGTATCGCTGAAAATATTTTTAACACATATTTTTCTCTCGTTTTTCTTGTAGTACGGTGGTGATGTTACCAGGAGAAAAAAGTTGCTAGCGCAACAAACGGAAGGAAAGAAAAAAATGAGAATGATCGGAAAAATTTCTTTACCGCGGGACACTTTCATAAATGTATTAAAGAGATGATGTAACTTTATACTATAAATCAGAGATGATTAATAACGATTGGTTTTTTTAATGGAGTTTGTCTGAAATTTTGGAGCTGCAGTTTCTATTATGTATGTCAACAACTTTTGCACCATTATTCCTATTTGCCATTCACTATTATAAGGTATATCGTCCAATACTTCTTCGTACAAAACGCCTTGCGACGACATATGATACACAGACCGCAGTATAACGTGCGGCTTCTCTTTTGGAAACGTTGGTGGGAGACGAAAGTGCACGAGAAAATGAAAGTCACGATGTTCCAACACAACGACGATCCAATTGAATTCCGAAGAGTCGTATTCCACCAGACTACCGCGTTGCAGCATAATTATAACAGTTACAAAGCTCTTTCTGCTCTCGAAGCACTGAACTACTGTCTTTATCTGACAAAAAAATACAAATTTTGTAAATTATATTGCGGCAATTTCTATTTTAATACATATTTATACATACTTTTTCTTCGATAAATTTCTTCACTTCCGGAACATAATCCATGAGATATTTGTTAGACGGAAATGGTGGAACGCGCAGAGTGTCAGAACCACCGAGAAAATCTTCCAAGTTCTTAGAGAGATGAAGTTGCGGCACGATACGATTCCAATCTGGTCCAAAAAACGTAATAATAAGCATCGCCTCATCATTCTGTGATTTGTTGGATCGCAAAGGCAGCTGGGAATAATCTATATATTCCCAAAGCCTTAGGCGAATTAAAAATCTCGCTTCCGTAGGCTTTGCTCCTAACGGTAACATTATCACTTCCACATCGTCTGTACGTGTTTCTGTTTCACCAATGAGCGTGCTATATTCGAATTGCAGTCGTTCTCCCTGATTTCCAAGTAACTGTATCTGAAAATAACAAAGATGTTACATATACTTTGAAATTCTATGAAATAATTGTTTGAAAATGTTATAATTATGCAAAGAAACTTATAAATATTGATTATACAGACAGAGAAGTCAAAATAATAAAAACTACAATATACAAAAAAGTATATAACACAGCAATTATAGGTCATGAAGAACCATATTATAGATTATTGTTTACCTGATAATGTTTATAATATTGTAACAGTTCAACCAACACATTGAACAATGCATTGGTGTCATTAGGTTTCCACTTAACTAGACTAGGTACTGTGTCAGACAAGATATCAATATCCGGATCAGCTAAAAAATTCTGATCGTTGAATATAAAATCAGGTCCCATCTCGAGACATTGTGAATTAAACAATATATTCCACACCAAATGTTCTCCAGCATAGGGAATAGATAATTTGAAACAGTCAGTTTTAGCTTTGCAACTGCTCGACCATGCCGATTCCAACTTTACTAGATTGTAACAAATTCCTGAAAGCATATGAATGACAATTTATTTATTTTTTCTACACAATAGTTACACACAAGCAGTTGTTCAGATGTTCCTATCAGATGTGAATAAAATAGGTACGATACAACAATTTAGAGCAATAAACGATGAGAGTCTAACCAAGTCTTTTGTTTTGCAAAACAGTCTTCAGTAGTGGTTCCACGTAAGGATCCACAGTATTCAAGAGAGGATGCTGTTGATTCAACATTTTATTCAAACCTGCATATATTCTCAAATCTAAAAAATACTTGCAGGAACCAGGAAAAAACTTGTATCAACGTTTTACGTTCTAGATTGTGTTTTTTTTAACCTATTTGTAATTTGACGTGATAGTGACATGAGCATGCGCTGTTACTGGCTACATGCGCGTGTGTGTATGTACATACGTATGTGTTCGATATCAATGAAATACACACAAGAGTTGAATCGCAGAGCGATTGTAACGATGTCACTTCGATAAATCAAGCAGTGTGATTGGTTGATTCGTCAAATAACGAACGATTAATCGCTTCGAGAGGATTCAACAGGTTGAAAACGCTATATAAAAAACCACGTCTGTCTAGTTTTATATGTTTGATGGTGTTGAGTCTAGTAAGACTGGTAAGACTCTAGTTTTATATTAGTTATCTTTCGAGCAACTCTCAGAACTTGCCCGACGCCCGATCTGATACTATTTGTGAACGTTTTGTCAACAGAATTGTCAATTTGTCCTCAAAATGTTGCCTCTTCTAAGGAATAGCCTGACAGTGAGACATGGAGTTTTTAATCACGGTACGCGCAAAAAAATGTATAATATTGTTTTGTATACAATTTGTTGTACAAATAAAAAATGTTACATTTAAATAACAGACGTCAAAGGTTTGTTTTAATCGGTACAAAGTCCACTTGAATAAACAGCGCAATTTATGTCCATTTAAAAAACACTACTGCTCTATTTTTCTCGCAAAATATAAGCTGAATACGTAATTACACTTGTCGTATATTTCATGTAATTTTATAGCATATATCAAAATTCTTTTTTTGTTTTTGCGACAATATAATAGTTTTGCGCAATAATTAGAAAATATCTTCTTTGAGTTGTGTGTGACGTTTGTGCCATCTTGACTCAGCATGTTATTTTATTTATAATTTTTCACCTTTGTACACTATATTTTGACATCTTCGATTTATTTATAGGGGAAACTATTGCTGCCTGTTACTCTGGTGTTTCTGTAAATAAGAATTATACCACAAAAAGCAGCAATGTTCCTAAGAACATTGTATTCGTCGATGGTGTGCGCACTCCATTTTTGCAGTCTGGAACAACCTACAAAAATCTTTTGGCTTATGACCTTGCAAGACAATCTTTGGTGTAAGTTGGAATGTTTCTGTTCCAATATATTTGTAAAAAAGTACACAAAATTTTTATTATTCAAATAAAAAACTGAAAAAAAATCTATTTTAGGAGTTTGCAAAAGAAAGTCGGATTTTCTAAGGACATAATAGATTACATTGTATATGGAACAGTGATGCAGGAAGTACGAACTTCCAATATCGGAAGGGAGGCTGCTCTGGCCGCAGGATATAGCGACCATACTCCTGCTCATACGGTGACAATGGCTTGCATTAGCAGCAATCAGGCTATCACTACCGGCATGGGTCTAATTGCTTGCGGTGTTTATGACGCTATTCTGGCGGGCGGAGTTGAATTCATGTCCGACATTCCGATCCGGCATAGTCGGCGCATGAGATCTTTGATGTTGCAAGCTAATAAGGCAAAAACATTAGGAAACAAGTTGGCTCTCTTGGCTAGCATCAGACCGGGACACCTCGTACCAGATGTGAGTTAATCTTTCTTGAAAAAGAAGAATAAATGAAATAAAATTCTGATCTAACATTTCACAATATAATTTGTGTCTGTACGTGTAGTTACCAGCTGTAGCGGAATTTTCAACTGGCGAAACCATGGGACACAGTGGAGATCGTTTGGCGGCGGCGTTCGGCGTGACGCGCAAGGAACAGGACGATTACGCGTTACGCTCTCACACTTTGGCCGCGCAAGCTCAACAACAAGGAAATCTGTCAGATGTGATGCCTTATAAAGGCACGTTAATCTGTTAATTCGTTGATATTCGATTGACGTGTATCTGTTCATTTTATTCTCATTGCTTTCCATCTATTTATAGTACCGGGCGTCAATCAGGTTGTGAACAAAGACAACGGTATTCGAGTGTCCACGGAGGAGCAATTAGCAAAATTAAAACCCGCGTTTGTTAAGCCTTACGGTACGGTGACCGCGGCTAACGCGTCTTTCTTGACCGACGGCGCGTCTGCAGCGTTGATAATGAGCGAGGAAAAGGCTCTTCAACTTGGCCTGAAACCCAAGGCGTATCTGCGTAATTTCATTTACGTGTCTCAAGATCCGGTCGATCAGCTGCTTCTGGGACCAACGTACGCCATACCGAAGGTATCTGATTTTTTCGTTAGTATGAAGCAAAGTTACACGGGAAGACATTCAACTTACAGAGAAATAAAAACATTTGCGTATAAATGATTGACAGGTTTTGGACAAGGCGAAATTGACTTTGAACGATATAGGAGTATGGGAAGTACACGAGGCTTTTGCTGGACAGATTTGTGCCAATCTGAAAGCCATGGATTCCGATTTGTTCTCGCAAAAGTACTTGAAAAGAAGCTCGAAAGTCGGATTACCAGATCTGAAGAAATGGAACGCCTGGGGTGGATCCTTATCGATTGGCCATCCGTTCGCCGCTACCGGAGTACGATTGGCGACTCATACCGCTAATCGACTTATTAAAGAGGATCAACAATTCGGTCTTATCGCGGCCTGTGCTGCTGGTGGACAGGTAGAAAAAAATGTTATATTAAACGCTGCGAGAGATATAAATTGATTTTGACAGCAAAAATATGAAATATAACTTTCTTTCTTTCTCTTCGCAATTCTATGTTAACATCTTACTTCCACAGGGAGTCGGCATGATCATGGAAAGATATCCCGGCGCCACAGTTTGATTCTCACGTTTAAAACAATGCAATAGAAGAAATTTGTGTATCTGATAAAAATATATTAAGATATTTTTCTACTTGAGAAAAACAAAAAAAAAAAAAAAAGGAACAGGAATTGTTATCAGCTTTTGTAAGAAAGTATTTTATATTGTTTATTATATATTGTATTAAACGATAAAAAACGTTGCAGTACTGTGAAGTGTATATCGCTCTTTTCTTATTACTCGAGTGAATTCTGCAGAAACGAAGGCAGTAGGTTCGCGTTCAAGTGATGTCTCACGCCATTGTCCAGTATAGCCTTTATGTCCTGGCAACCTTGTAACGCACGCTGTTTGAGCGTTTGCAGACGCGACAAATGCAATCGCTGCCCGGCCCCGTGTGCCACCACTATCAGACCGTTTCCGTCCACTTCGACTTCGTTATTTGTTTCTGCTAACGCGACGACGGACAAAGTGACCCCGGGCGAACATTCTTCCACAAAATTCGAATCCACTACACCTGCTGCCAACGTTTTGTCTTCATTCTCCATTGACAATTTATTGATTAGAGATACTGTACAACCTACCGCGTAATTCTGCAAAAATTTGTATGTAAAAATTAGTGGTATTTTATACATATGTGCGTGTGTGTCTAAATCTTTTCTAATAAAAACCTTAATTGGAATTCCAGCGTCTATTAATGCGAGCGTGGCCGCGTTCACAGATGCGCAGTAATCGCTACCGTCAACTTGTAGAATTTCCACAAAGATATCGATCTGAGAACGTGGATACAGTTCCAAGTGTATTATAGCTTCCATCGCGTGGCGTAATTGAGTCGATCTCTCCTGTGATTTCCAGTCTCCTCTAGGCCTTCGCTTGCGCTCGCCGGAGGTAAAACTGAACACGGCCATACTGTACTGGCAATTTATAATGGCCTTTGTACTCGTCCTCGATGCACTGCTTCTCGGCTGCATTGTATATTAGAGAAAGACACATATTGTATTTTACAAATATATCTCACGATACATAAAATAGTTTAAAAAATAAGATGACATATATATAAAACAATTAACGTTTTTAGTAAGAAAAATTAAAGATACATCGAGATAATTCAAACCTGATGAGGGCCGTAAACTGCGGCTAAAACTTTAGTGTTTCCATGCTCGATGTACGCACTGCCGTCGGCTTGTCCGAACACTCCCATTCGCATACGAACTTGTCTCAATTCCAGCGCCCGTCTTCCATCCGTACGCAATCCACCCTGACTGCCTTCTTGATCCGGCTCGATCATATTTTTTCGGTCCAGGTGTCGTTTACAATTTTATAGTAAATTAAGGTTTCTAAACACGTGAGAACTTAACCTTTAAATAGCTTCTATATACACAACAGCTATATAGACTATAGTATTGGAGCAACTCAATGGGCATGTGCGCAGTGCTGCCCATACAGAACAGCTGATCAGGTAATGAAATATCTAGAGGTGACGCGTACAAGCATAGTATTATATATATGCGTACAAGTTGTACGATACTTACACTACCTAGAATTGGCGCGAGAAGCGATGTTAAAGACGACACGAGAGTGCAGAACCTAACCCTAACCTGTCGTTATATTGTTAGTAAACAAATATGAAATGTTCGTGACAGCCGCGCCAAAAAATGAAGAGAGTCAAAGTCGTGCCGGACAGACCGAATCGTTTGTTCGAGACCTGGTTAGAAGAATGGGAAAACGAAGCGGCGCGTCGAAAGTCCGAATTGCGCTATCATTTTGCCAAGGCTCTCAGTTCGCTGAGAAAATATCCGCTGCCGTTGGAATCGGGTAGAGAATGTATAATTCTGCAACACTTCGGTACAAAATTGTGCTCGATGCTGGACAAAAAGTTGGAAGAGTATAAGAAACAATCCTCTAAGGTGGTCGTTACTTCTGGATCCAGCGCTAACGAAGACTATACATCGACTTTGATACAAAAACAGGTGGACGAAAACAGGATTGTTGAAGAGAAAACAACATTAGCCAAGCAAGCAAGAACTGCTAAAAAGAATGCATCTAAACAATTAGTAAACAACACCAATCAAATTGCAACACAGAATGATAGAGTTGAAATTGTGTTAGAACCTGGCACTTTTGATATTATATTACTGGTGGACACTCAGGAAACTTGTGGGTGAATATTTACAAAACACAGCTTAAAGTAAAAATATTTTAACACATATAATAATATATTTTTGATTATTGTAATTTTTTTTTAGTGGGAAAACAAAGCCTCAACATGATAAAACACTTGCAGAATTGGAAAAATTTGATTTGCTATTCGAAGTGCGTCGTTTAAAAGTTGGTGATTTTGGTTGGATCGCCAAATGTAGAAAAACCAGCTACGAACTGGTTCTGCCTTACATAGTGGAAAGAAAACGAATGGACGATTTGAGTGCGAGCATTATAGATGGGAGATTTCACGAACAAAAGGTATATTTTTAAACTATTATTTTTTTTTTTTAAACGCGTGTATTCTTGCTTCTGCATAATTTTTGTAATTATTCGCACATTCTTTATTTCCATCGGTCAGTTTCGTTTGAAGCAATCTGGTATTCAACATCTCATGTATATAGTAGAGAATACGGATAAAAACACTAGATTTTCTATACCACTCTCGTCGTTGTTACAAGCTTCTGTCAATTGTCTGATTCAAGATGGTTTCACCGTAAAGCATACAAAAAGCCACAAAGATTCTATGTTATATCTATCGTATGTAACAAAGACTATAATTAAAAGCTTCAAGGTATGCGAAAAAAGTGTATTATGAAATAAACACACATTTTGAATCTTTTAAAACACATTGCAAGCTTATTATTTTAGAACAAAAGATTAGTCGGATGCAAGAAGGACGAAAATCCTTCTCAAATTATTTCTTTTACCACAATACCTCTCATGGAGTTCAAGGAATTTAACAAGGCGTCTTCCAAACAGAGAGTATGTATTTGAGTTTTTTTTTGTAATGTAACGCGTGTAAAATGTTAATTTTTTTTTTTCAGACATTCAAAGTGAGCGAAATGTTCATTCGTCAATTAGTACAACTGAAAGGCATGTCCGTGGACAAAGCCATGGCGATTGTAGAACGTTATGCCACACCGCGGAATCTGGTTACAGCTTTAAAAAATAATGGCAGGAACGGAGAGCAATTACTGGCCAACATTCAGTTCGGTGATAAGAAGCGACAGCTCGGACCCACTATCAGCAAAACCGTTTATCAGTTTTACACAATGATGAATCTCAGTTAAAATAAAGATATACCGTTATTTACAATTGTTTTATTGATACACACTCATATCCTGCATATTTTTAGTTTAGGATCCCACACACTACTACACATCAAAATTAATACGTTTCTTAATGAAATGAAAAAAAATTAGTAAATAAAGATTGTGTGCGTTAAAACTTTTACGTACTCTCGTGTCTTCAAACGAACTGAACTCACATCAACATGTCTTCACAACGCGTTTTATATCACCTACTCATTTTTTCTGAAATTACTGCTCGTACAGTTGCAACATCACGTGAATAATAGAAGAAAAAAGCAATTTTTTTCCAATAGAAAAAAGAGCGTCCGAAAAATTTACTGAAAATTATTTCAAAGTGAAAATTGCTCTCGCTCTTTGCCTTATTATTTTTCAGAGAAAAAACGCTAAAAAATGATACTTTAATTAAATGATACTTCATTTTTGCGCCCTTCTGTTTATTTTCTCAAGGCTGTAAGCTGTTGGCAAGTAGATCGATGTTCGTAATTCAGTGCATTAGAGCGTCGAGAAGTGCGAAATTGTTGTTGGCGTAAGAGAGCAATTTACTTTTTCCTCCCTCGCTGAAAAAGAAAAAATAAAAAATTTATTTCTGTCGCGTGAGAACGACGATAGCGCAGGGGACAATTATCGTCTCGCGCACGATCATTTCTCTCAGTTCTCGTCGAACCCCCGAAGTAGATGGAGTTCTCTCTGGATCGGTATTACGGACTGAATCGTCGACTGTTGTCCTTAATCGGCGTATGGCCTTATCAGAGCGCGAAAAACGCCTGGATCTGTCGGGGGATCGTGATGTTGATCATAATCTGGTCCACAGTTGCTCAGGTACATTTTAATAAAAAAAAGTTACTGAATGCATGTGGTTTAAAAATGTTTAGATCGGTGTTTGGTGAAAATAGATTTTTCTATAATTTTTGATTTAATTTAATAAATGATTTTTTGTGAAGAATATTTTTCATATAAAAAATTGAAATAAAAAAATCGGCTATTCTTCCAGATTACGAAGATCTTTATGTCAGAGTTAACCATAGAATTTATACTGGACGTCCTGCCTGTTTTCATACCTAATCTTGGTGTGATATTTCAAATAGTGGAACGTACAATACACAAGAATACAGTAAGAGACAGACGATATATACGGTTCTCTTATTTTTGTAATTATTTGAGACGTCAAAAATTGCGATTGATTTGTCTCGCTTGAATTTACAAAAAACAAAAAAAAAATATAATCATTATTTGATTTGTAGATGAAAGAGATGCTCGATCGAATCGGAGCTGATTGGAAACGCAGAAAATCTCAAGACGAAATCAAAATTATGCACGAATACGCCACGAGCGCAAGACTGATTACAAAATGCTTTCTCGGCAAGTGGAGCTTTTCATTTTATTAATTACAGAAATAACATTAGTTTTGATATTTTTTAAGTTTTTTTAAAATATTTTAAAAGTATCTCATTTAAAAAAAAATTGCACAAAGGGTTTATAGAATCAGAGTTGGGTACTCGATCAAATTGTTTAAATTTTATGATTAATATAACACAGTTTTATATATATTTTTATAATTATTTCAATCTTTGTACTTGTTTTAATTTTATGTGACTCCGCGTTTTTCAGGTTACTTGCTAGGAGGTATAAATTTGTACATATTCTATAATATGATCTTCCCGCAAATTCTCGATGTGTTTGTGCCGTTAAACGAGTCACGTAAGAACGAGCATCCGTTTCACGCCGAATTCTTCATAGACAACGAAAAATATTTTTATCTTATTCGACTTCAAATGTACCTTATAATACTGTTGGTACTGGGAGCGGTCCTCGCTCACGCAACCATGTTCGTCGTCTATGCGCAGCACGCTAGCGGAATGTTCATCGTACTCGGGTATTGTTTGAAAAAAACACAAACTATTATATACAATTATTAATGTTACATATTTAATACAATTTGTAATTAGATTTTTTGTTTGGCTTCGAAGAGTTTTTCTTTTCTCAATTTACATCGACATTGTGTCCCGACAATTTTATAATTAGCAAAAATTTATGTTCAGTCACCGCGCGGAGCGATTATTCAGTGCTAAACGAAGACTCAATTTGTTCAAAGAGACCCGGTCCGTCCGTAAAAACAGTAAAGATTACAGAAAGATAATTCTCTTTGTCGAAGAACATCGCAACGTTTTACAGTTAGTAATCTTTTGACAGTGTCATACGCGTAAGTTATGTCTAAAAAACAGAAGCAACTTCACGAAAGAAACCAATTTTTGTCGTGTGTAATTTTACGAAGACAATAACGCACAGTATATATAAATGTTAATAACGACAAAACAAAAGACCGATTGTTTCTGTTTTTTTTTTTTTTAGGTACGTTTTACAACGTATATAAATATGCGGAGCACTGTGCAAGTATTCAATAATTTTTCTTATCAAAATTAAAATTTGCAATATATTATTAACGTGTTTTGTGTGCGATCTAAGGTTTGTGGATATTATTCAGTCGTGCTACGAATTGAATATCTTCGTTGAGTTTTTAAGTCTGATAGCCCTGATAGGCATAACGATGGTTCAAGTGAGTGTTGAAATCATTGAAAAAAACTTAACTTTGATATGATGTATTTTATTTACTCGTGCCAAAAGTGAATATTTACGAATAAACATATCAATACATGTATAAACCTCACGTGTGTCGCAACAATAAGTGAAATTAAAAAGCATTCTCACCAGCGCTTGATCGCGTATGTACATTTATTGTTTAGACAGTTAAGTTCTCCGGATTGTCGGACGAACGGTCGCTTAGATCCATAGCTTTCGTCGGTGGACAGTCAATTTATCTGTTCATATGTAGCTACGCGGGTCAACAGATTATCGACACGAGCACACAGTTGTTCATGAAAACGTAAGTACGCGCGCAACGATTAATCGATTTACGCATCGATTAATCGCGCGCATCTTGTTCTTCGTGCAACGCGCGAAGTCACATCAAGATCATCAAGTCACATCAAGTCACGGCTAAGTAAAACTTTATAAAAAAAAATATAAGGTGTAATTGTTGGAGAACTCGATCGCATTTTTGACGTCGTGAATTTCTAGATATTCCGGTAAGTGGCACAATATGTCTCTGTGGAAGCAAAAGATGATGTTGTTCGTTATGATGAGATGCATGCAAACGATCTCCATTAGGCCGTACAATCACTACGTTGTGAGTCTAGAAAGTTTTTCGACGGTAAGCGTGAAAGTGACACGCGTGACGTGTCGACGTTAAATTTTAAGAATGACGAGACTTTTCTCTTTACCCGCGACATATTGTACAATATGTGTATATCGATGTGCAATTTTTCTTTCAAGATATTACAATCAGCTATATCGGTCTGTATGTTGCTGAGACGTTTGTGAAGACGTACTTTATATTGATATTATACGCAATAAAATAGTTTCAAAGAACTGTAGTGCTTTTGTATGTCGATTCGAGTTTTTGCATAAAATTACACGGCACTATACGTATATTTTTCTTTGTCGTATTGCTTTCTGGAATCCTAGCGATTTATTTCATTTTTTTAGACATACTTGTAACAGCAGCGACTATACTCATATGAAGAAAATTAATATTTTGTTCGCTCGAATGATCGAGTCTCTCGTGCGATCGTCAGAAATCAGAAGAAGAAAACTGTGGCACAATGTCTGTCACAAATTGCAATTTTTCGTTGAGAAAAAGTAAACGCGCGACAGAAATGTGACGTGATGTTGAAGCAAGCGATCACTAAACAATTACTTGCCGCAAAATATTATATTCACACATTACATATTATGTATAAATACATTGTGTAAATGTATGATTTTCTTAAAACAATTTGTTAACGAAATATACTTGCACAATCGCGACGAAGCTATCAGTGGAAGGAGCGCAACATTGTAAAGTAAGACATCGATGTCTTGAGAACCTTCGAATAATAAAATCATTGTTATATAAAGCGCATCTTAAGTAGATCACGCGAAAAAAAAATAAATATAGAGTATCTGAAGAATTTTCACACACAGTGGTGAAAGATTCGTATACGAATCTTAATAATTTTAATGAATATTATAATACTCATTAAATTATTCATTAATTAATACAAGCCGTCACTTTCCACGCTCTCATTGGCTCGCGTTAATTAATTAATACAACTCAATAAAAAGTGCGAACTTCGCAAAATGATCCTTCTGGTCAGATTGATCCAATCTATCGTCACTTCGGCGCTGTGTCAAGATTTTTCAGACACTCTAGTCATTAATTATAATTGCTTTACCACGCCGAAAGATTCGATGGACAGTGTCATCACTTTGCCGGCCGTTATCCTGCACGGCGACGCGGTTCTGCTCATGATCAGAAGCAGGAGCTTCCTACATCTACTCGATGTGTGATACCAATTTGCTCTGCAACTGTGAGTCAAAACAACGATAATAACACAAAATGATAAATGAAAAGTGTATTCATACATTTGTTCGCAGATATTCCGTCAGGTATAAACAAAATTAATAAACAACAGCGTTCTAAGCAAAATCGAGCTCTTAAATAGGAAGAAGAGTTTTCTTGTCTTACATCGACTCGTACGGAACGGTGCTGTAATCCAACAAGAATTGCGCCTGCCAGAAGTGCAGAAAAAGATGGGTGAGTTGAGCAACGTAGATAGCGATGGGCGCTACTATATCTTTCTTGGTGCTGCTGTTCAAATTTATCAACACCTTCAACACGCACGTTTTCTGAGATTAATCACAATCATTAATTTAAAATTAAAGAAATGACATACCTGAATGCCGCATATACTACCGCCGACCATGTTTATGCTAATGCTGACGAGAAATATAGTTGTGAACGTGGATTCGATCAGCTCCGCGAATCTAAAAATCCCGAACGTGAAAATTTGGAGGAAAAAAAATACATATAAATAAAATAACGCGCGACATGTCACGCTATCAACACGCACTCTATTACATGCAGATGTTTACGCAGACACTCGAGAGCTTTGTTGTAACTGTGGTCCTTCGCTTTGTCGGGCGTCAGATCAAAACTGGCGTCGTTGTATTCGCCAATATGTTCCAGCGAGTGTCTAAAAGCCGCTAAAATAATAAACGTTCTTGGCAAATTCATTTCCAGATTACGAAATAACGTAACGATCTCTTCCGAGATTGAGATTTCGCGATTCAATGAGGCGATAATACACACGTCTCTGTGATATTTCAGTTTGTTTGAATAAATCACATTTCGGGTATCCTCTTACCCAACGACCGAAAACATCCCGCAGGCGTGCTGGACCAGGGAAATATACAAGGTGTCGGTCGCCACTGTGGCGGTCACATGAGAAAACACGGTCAAGTAACCGTGAATCAGTATCGGATAAAAATACCGATCGATCGTGTGGCCATATTCCACACGAAAAGGCAGCTTTGTCACCGCCAGGCCGGTCGAGTTGGAAGTATCCTCGATCATTATCAGCACGATCGACTTGAGCATATACAGGAATCCTGTTAGCTGCATGAAAGCTAGAAATCGGTTACGCGCGTTACACGGAGTTTCGCCGGAAAAATTTTTGCTCGATTCAATCGATTTTTAACTCATTTTTTTCTGCGTCAAATGTTTTTTTTTTTTTTGTTTGACGCACCTGCGTAAAATATCGTCACGTACTGTCCGTACACGGCGTGTCGATGTAGAATGGCTCTCTCGCTATCGGTGCTCAGTGACAGCCAATCGTCTTCTATTGTTTTAAAACAGTTCATTATCTGCAAATACATATAAAATACAATACAAACGTATTTACAAAGCTTCTGCGTGTGTCAACAATTATTTTTTCTTCCTCTTGTACGTGGCGTCAATCGCTTCATTAAATTCGCGAGTAATCAATATACCTACTTTCTCGCTGTTCTTCATTAAACTGCCTAATTTGAAGCTGAACAATATTGTGATTAATATTGTTGGAATACACTCGAACAAATCGTCGAGATCCATCAGGGCAATATGCACGTACAGCAGCTACGTGTTAAAATCAATATCACACATTAATTACAAAACAGCAATGAGACACAAACATAATCTAAAAAATGGAACATTAATTAAAAATAAAGCAAAACAAAACGTTTATCTCTCTCTAGCGTTTTTTTTTTCTCGCGCCTTCGTGAACGTGTTCGATTGTTAATACCTGTGGAATGAGGATAATCGAACACACGGTGAACGTCGGCACAAAGTGCAGACATCTATCGCGGATCGCGCGGTACGGCCACAATCCTGCCAGAGTCATGTAGAACCTGGGGATCATGTAATACCGACTTCGTCGAATGTCCGTTCGCTCGAGCATTTTCAGAAAACTGAACACCAAGAGTGCGAACTATCGACGATTGTTTCAGTAAGTGCTCGCTACACCAAGCGCGAGCATATAGAACGTCATTAGCGATTCCGTATGTGTCGCGGGAGTAAATTGGTCATCATCACACGACCAATTACGCCATCGCGGTATAACGGCCAATTATTTACGCGCACTGGCGACCCTTTTCATCATTTCTTCTCGTCGCGTTTCTCGCAAGGGAAAACAGCGACAATGTATTCCGTCGCGAAGAAAGACACGTTCAGTGCGTGCGGGGCGGTGGACACGTTGAAAACACAAGTGTTTGCCATGTGCGTGTGAAATGATATTGAAATTATCGAGAAAAGAAGGAATAGATTATTAGCAAAGGTATTGCGAAATAAATTGTAATCCACACCTTTGCTACGATTTTACAATTCTTATGTTTATTTCTTCTGTTTAGAGCAGCAAGTAATGATGTAAAAATGTATCAATGTAAATATATAAATGTAAAATGTGCCGGAATAAGTCTGTTTGTTCCCAGAAAGTTTTACTGCACAGACAGCAGCAGAGTAAAGTATGATGACGATGTGCGCATCACCTTAAACAAAATGTTTCTCATCCCTAGTAACGTAATCAACATTTTGCGTAAAGTTGTCGCATGTACTTACCGTGTTGAAGGTAACGTATGACAGCACGATTAATTTGCCGGCGGTTAGCATCACGGGCTGCTTACTTTTCATTATGATCATCACAAGAAGCTTTTTTGTCGTTACTGACATGTTGTACCACTCAGCGTTATATCTGCGAATTTTGTGATTGAACAAAAAATAATTTCGCACGACTCTCTCGGCGTTACAATAAAACTTACGCGGCGTCGAACACTTTTTCGCTCGAGTCTATGACTTTCTGGCCGAGCCAGTTTTCAACAAATATATTGATTAAGAGTCCATCCAGATAAATGCTGTATTTCAGAAGGTGATTGACTTGTTCCATATTCGTGATTGCCTATAGAAATTATCACGATGTACAGGCAAACAATGCAGAGTAGTTTTTATTTTCGTTTCAAGTAGAAAATTGAAAAGTATAAAAAATAATTCAATTGTACACCCGAGAAGTGTCGCACAGAGCCATCGTAATAATTTTCATCGTACATAATATTTATCACACTAAGACATACCTGATATCCTAAAACACTTATAGCAAATACGGCAGATGCTATGTGATAGAAGAGCGGAGAACTATATACCGCGTTCACCAGGTCAACAAATCTAATGTAACACATTCACAAATAAACAAGATTTTTTTATCAGCTTTCCTCATAAAGATAATTAAGTATCGCAGATATATATTACATATATACTCACTGCATTGCTTCTGCGTGTCTCCGAACACTATAAGCGATATTTGAATACGATTTATTTCTTGTGAACTTTGTTGCTGAACTGTTTCTAATCATTTCGAACTCAAACGCGTATTCAAGCCGGTATCTTAAAGACAAAAAATATGCAACATTTAAAAATCGATAATTTTCCAACACATTCGAGTCAAATTGGTGACATTCATGGTTAAGCGTTTTTTCATATGAAATTTGCCACTCACCTCAGAGCCGCGAATAATCCGCAACAATGGTGAATCAGTGTTATGTACAAAACATCAAATACACCTATGAAGAACGCATAAATCGCAGAAGTTGTGGTTGTATGTATGTATACGGGAACGTAATATGTGTCCATGTCGATATCGTGACTGACACGAAAAGGCAATCCTATTTGGGCACCTTTTCCCGATGACAATGTTGTTCCGTTCTTATTAGATTTCATGTAAATGATCCTCGATAATAATGTTATCAAATTGAAAACAATGATGTGGAAAAATACGTAACCTAATTTACACAAAAAATGTATTTGTGCGCTTAAAACAATTTTAAAACCTCTTAAAATGTAACGGGGGAATAAATAAAAACTGACAACTTTTTGAATTATTTTTACACTCAAGCTGTTTTACCTGTGTAAGCGTAACTCAAATTTCGCCCGTACAACGCGTACGAATTTTGTATCTTAGTTTCCTCGCTCGACTTTTCCGAGAGACGGTATTCTCGCATTTTTATCAGAAGTAGTTTTATCTGTAACCCGAAGAAAAAAATTTTACAGTACTGGTTACGTAGTCGCGTGATGTCGCTGTGTTATATACTCGCCTTTGGCAACGTACGTATCGTGAGTATCATTTTAACCGAGGACAATACAGTAAGTAACAGCATCGGCATGCCATCGACCAGTTCGAAGGTGTCGTGCCAGACATCTATCATTCCTAATATCTACAGTTTCGTCAATTAACTTTGTTGTAATTAATTACCCACTTACATATTATATTATATTACAAAACATACGCGTGTACACAGCGATAAATAATTTTAATTGCTAATAATTTTAATTACTTGTCGCGTACGCGTATGTTTGTAATTTTTTAAAACGTCGTTGATTGCGTTACAATTTCGTCAAACGCGCGTAACTGTTACGATAATACCGTCGCGTATCGATCGATTATTTTCCTGCCGCGACAATGACACACAATTGCACACAACAAAACATCTATGCGCAATATTTTACGAAGAACACAGAAGCTTTGCCTTTTACCTGAATCGTTGCTCCGGATCCCAACACCACTAGCAGTACAAGATATATAACAAAGCGTCGACCGGTCGTATGAAAAGGCCACAGACCGCTAACGCTTAATAATGTACGAACAATTTTGTAATCCGGCGAGTTCTGAAAAAACTGATCGACATTATTCATCTCGCCCTCCTTAACGCGAAATATAGTCGCCGTGAAATATAGATTAGTGTTATTCGCTGTGCGTCTTGCCCCAAAGAGATGCGGTTTTGTCGAACGCGATCGTGGAACGAAATCAAGAGATCGATTGAAACTTACGCATATCTTTCTCTCTACTGTTCTCTGACTCTGCTCTTCGTTTCCGCTTTCGCAACATCTTATTACAATGTGACAGTGCAATTGCACATGGCGAATATAGTGTGTCAAAATGTCGAGTGTACACGTATATAATTATCTATTGACGACTCCTGTTTCATTTACGTCGCACATCTTCTACATATTTTACAGCAGTCCCGTTTAGCGGATCGACGTAATGTTCGTTTCACGAACCGCTATTATAACAAGATAATTTTGAAAACAGTGAAAGAGAGGAAGAGAAGGGAAAATAGAATTTAGCAAAAAATACTGTAAAATATAAGTTGTAATCACATATGTGTGAATATAATTTTTCTAAGACGCACACACTAATGACGTAAAACTAATACAAATATATGAAGTGCAAATGTGTCTTAAAAGTATTTATTGCATGGATCGTAACAGCATAAAGTACGACGATGATGTGCGTATCACCTTCAACAAAAAATTTCATTACGTAAGAAAAATTTGCATTTTCGTAAAATTATTAGTGACATTGTTTTTTTTTTTTACCGTGTTAAAAGTGATGTACGACAATACGATCAATTTGCTGGCGTTCAGTATCAGCGGCTGTTTACTTTTCATTATGACCATTACAAGAAGTTTTCTCGCTGGCACTGACATACTGTGCCATTCTGCGCTACATCTAAGAATGTCGTATAATTTTAGATATGCGTGTAACAATTTTATTTACACGCCTTTATTGCTATGTAACAAACTTACGCGGCGTCGAACACTTTTTCGCTGGAATCTATAATTTTCTGACCGATCCAGTTCTCAAAGAATATGTTGATTGTAAGTCCGTTCAGATACATGCCATGCTTCAAAAGACGATTGATATCGCTTGTGTTCGTTACCACCTGTGGAAATTACTGAAGTATGTAAGTAACGACGTCGTGGTTTTCTTTGAGCGATCAGTGTTTAATTGAAAAACCATTACAGCTTTTTAATATTATTATTATATACACCTAAGTGTCCCAAATAATATTCACGTAAACACACATAGTGATCGCAACACTCACCTGATATCCTAAAACGCTTAAAACAATTATGGTCGCTCCTATGTGACAGAAAAGTGGTAAACTATGTACTTCGTTCACTATGGCCACAAACCTGACATATACACATTTATATTGTATTAATTAATTTTTTTCACACAAGTTACAATAATAATTCTCTCGGTGCAAAAATACACTCACTCCTCCGCTTCCGTGTGTCTTCGAATGCTATAGACGATATTTGAGTAACATTTATTTTTTGTCGTTATATCATCAGCTTCTAACGCATATTGTAGTCGGTATCTTAAATATCCAAAGATTTACAAGTTGGTATAGAAATATTTTCTACATTGGTAAATAAACTTTTAAGCACGCGTATTTATTTTTTTTTATAATTTACCAACATTCACCTCAAAGCTCCGAAAAACCCGCAGCAGTGATGAGTCAGCGTCATAAATAAAACATCGAATACAACAATCAAAGACATGTACAACACACAGCACGTAGTCGTGTGTATGTATATTGGAACATAATATTTGTCTAAATCGACCAAATAATTGACGCGGTAAGCTAATCCCAATTGAGCGCCTTGCACGTCGTTCGACAATGTAACGTTCGTATCAGACTCCACGTGAACAAATCTCGACAATAATGTCGCAACATTGAAGACTACGACGTGACTGAACACTAAGCCTGATTTACGCAAAAAATTAAAACTTGGAATTAATTTTGCTTGAAATTTAATTAAGCTCACCTGTGTAAGCGTAGCACAAATTTCTTCCGTACAACGCGTGCGAGTTTTGTATCTCGGTTTCCTCAGTCGACTTTTGGGAGAGACAGTATTCTTGCATTTTTATCAGCAACAGTTTTATCTGGAAAAACTCGAAAAATCACGATAAAAATCAAATGCAGCAACAAATTCATGTATTAACGCGCGTAATGTCGACCTTTTATCATTGTGCGCACCTTCGGCAACGTACATATCGCAAAAATCAGTTTGATTGTAGACACTATAGCGAGTAACAACAGCGGCATTGCGTCGACCAGTTCGAAAGTGTTATTCCAAATGTCTCTTACGCCTAATATCTATGTTTTTAATTGTTTATTTAAAAGAATTGTGGATTACATTGATTGTGTCAGGCGCGCGTAAATGCTGCGACAGCATTTGCATGTAATTGCAATTTATTGAAGTCGGTTAACTTCTCGTTAGTGATAAAATCGCAAAAAGCCATAAAAAGTATCTACAATATTTTTTGAGATACTCTCCCTAGTCTGAAAAACACGAATTTTCTCTATGTACCTGAAACGTCATTCCCGATCCCAGTATCACTAGCATTGTGAGATATATCACGTAGCGTCGGCTTGCTGTGTGAAAAGGCCATAAACCGCAGCTACTTAAAAATATTCGAACGTATCTGTAATGCGGCGAGCTCTGGTAAAACTGATCAACGTAATTCATTTTTTTTCTCTCTGTCAAACTGTGTTTTTGTTTTTTGTTCTATTATTATTGTCAGGAACGTGAAACGTGTAATCGCTGTTGCAACATATAGATTGATACTGTTTGCCGTAAGTGCGTCCAAAATGTATGCGTGTCACGGGATCGATCGCACTTACTGTCTAACGTTTCCCGCGACTCTGCTTTTTGTTTCCGCTTTCATACCTCTTATTACAACATATCACGTTGCAATTGTCTTAAATATAGTGGTTTGTTCTATCGTACACGTGTGTGTACGCATATAACTACTGCATTATTATCTATTACAACGATGCCGATCTATATTGTTACAACGCAACTCTATGCGCAGTTGGTCTACTTGCGGCTTAGATGACGTTTAGAATGTTTACATCTCTCCTTGTATTTTGAGTTTGTTACTCACTTTATAAATACAAAGTGTCAAGAGAATTTTGACAATTTCGAAGTGCAAAGATAAATCAGATCTATCTGAATCGACATCATTTATCATTTTGCAAAATTTCCAATATTTACTGAGTTATTAATTTATTAATGTAAGTCAATGAGAAGCGATGATTCGCGCTCTGTAGGCATGTATAATTTTCAGTTGTACCGTTGTGAAAATCAGCTGATCGCAAGAACCTGTGTCACGCCTCTCGCTTGTTTGCTCCACTTCTCGTTGCTGGGATATTGCAGGTAAGTCATTTTTCTTTACAACTAAAAATTGTACACGTTTGCAGAGTCCGGACCACGCGCGCTCATTGGTTTACATTACTTAATTAATTACTCAGTAAATTTTTTAAAATGGCACGTGATTTTTTGGCTCAGCTGTATCAAAATTTTTCAGACACTTTGTAATAAAAATAAAGTAAATAGAAAAATTGATATCGCAATTGCATATAATTAAAGAGAACATTTTTCAGGTGCGGGTCACAATAGATTTTCTGTTTTCAAAAGGAGCAGAAAACTATTACAGCAGCAAACTATCTCTATTCATGTATGTTAACCATCGGTAAAATATACATAGTAAGTTCTAACATAGCATGTAATCAACAAAAATACATTATATTTACACATAATGTGCTTATTAACTAACTGGTGTTTTGTTTAAGAATATAGATTACTGTGTACTCGATTTCGTGTGATGTTCTCTGAAATAATATAACCGTAGGTTTTCTGTAATATTGTAAAAGAAATTGTTAAGATTAACACTTATACATATCTTATTTTTTAAGATTATATACATGTAATTTTCTTATTTATACATATATACACACATGTATGTATAAATACGTGCATATACAGCGTATTCCAAATAAATATAATATAAAGTATAATATTGTAAATATATATAATAAATTATATGTGTGTATATAATATATATTATTTAATGTTATATATAATATAAATTACGTATACGACTTATATATAATATAAGTTACGTTACTTTATAGTCACATTTTTAATTTTCTCCACGTATACGACGAACTGTCAAAATTGCTTCTCTGTTATTATTTTCTCTCTCTCTCTCTCTCTATTATTATTATTTTTATAATTATGAAGTTTTTTAAACGAATTTAATATATTACATAATTTTGTGTAGCAGTGCATTTAAAACAGTAAGTTTTAGTTTAGCTTACAACCTTAGCTCAATTCCTGCTCGATTAATCGAACATCTGTTGTTAACTACAATGTAGAGGCGACGTGTTACACATCGATCATCCAAATGTACACCTTTCACGCGGATCGCGTTTGACAATCCGAAATTATCCGAACTGACAATCCGATATTACTATAACAACAGTATAGTGCTCGCTATCTAAGTCAAGTTTACTCCGCCGTTGCTCTGTTCAATGACAGAAAGTTGATTTGTAATGTTGCATTCGCACAAAACCAGCGTACGCGCTATGAACGCACAGATGGAAGAATACTATTCAACTAACAAATTCTTTTTGTCACAAGTCGGTAGTTGGCCGTATCAGCGTAAAACGTTGAGAGTGCTGCTACCGTCTCTTTTGGTAACAATACAAATCTCTGTCGTCGTGACTGAGGTAACGGTGTCAATAATATCTTTTTTCTTCGACGGAAACTTGAAATTTTACATATTTGTAAATTTAATTTCTCGTCGATCAATATTGTTGTCTGTTCATAGATTCTTCTATTGCATGACACTTGGGGTAACATAGACATAGCTGTCGAGAGTCTGATTACCACTATCCCAGTAGTTGGTTCCAGCGCGAAGTTAATAAATATTGTAGTGAATAATGACAAAGTAAGTCTTTTACGTCTCAGTGCTTTTTATTGATGCCAAATACTGCGTGTGCTACTACAAAAACGTTTTATATTCTTCGTCAGTTTCAACAATTGCTGCAACTCATGAACGATCATTGGGAATTTTTCAACAGCAAATCCGAACGTCAGGTTTTAAAATACTACGCAAGCATTAGTCGAAAACTGACGAAGTATTACGCAGGTATACGATCAATTGTTAGCACGAAAAAAAATGAGACAAAGTGACATGATCGCGATGTACAATGTAGATTGTGTTTCGTGTAACTAAGAAAACAATTTCTGTCGAAACATTTGTTTTAACTAAACTTCTTTCTCTTGACAAAAAAATGCGATAGATCAGATGTACAACAAATACATACGTAATGAGTGATTTTCCTTCGTACAGCATATTGTTACACAATATTGGTGCTGTATCTGCTGATTCCGTTGATACCGAGAATCTTAGACGTTGTCGTGCCGTTGAACGAATCGCGACCGTTGAAGTACGTGTTCCCGGCTGAGTACAGAGTGGACAAGGAAAAATATTACTATCCGATCTTGGTGCACGCCTACATGGCGAGCACAGTCACCATTGTGAGCGTGCTGAGTGTCGATACCATGTACATAGTATGTGTGTTGCATGCGTGCAGTTTGTTTACGGCTATTGGGTAAGTATTTATTAATGTTATACGACCCACAACAAATGTATAAAAGTGACAAGTAATTTTTTTTATAAATTCATAAATACGTTTAATCTGATATTAATTGAAGTTGAAGTAACATAAAGTGTGTCAAAAAACATGAAGCTCTAACGTTTCAACTTGTTTTATTTCTAAAAGTCACCAACTTGAAAGTATCGGTCAACGAGCTACTGCTGAAATCAATAATAATAATAATAACAACAACAACAACAAAACATCGTGCACAAGATCGTGTTATTATCTACTTGTAGAGGAACACGATTCCGTCGACGATGCCAATTGTCACGATTACCGTGAAATGATGACATGCTTGAAGAAACATCAAATCGCATTAGAGTTCGTATTGCGTGATATTTTATTGACGTTAATCTTACCAATTTAAACAAGAATTGTTTTACAAAAATTTTCAATATTTTTCCCGGTTTTTTACAATTTCTTCGTTATATTTACAGATATGTTCAGATATTGGACACCACGTTCACTTACGCGTCGTTTGTCCTGTTGATTTTAAACGTGATGATCATGAGCGTGATCGGACTGCAGGTAAATTCGTATTGTGTGCGTTCACGTAAAGCTGTCATTTTAGAAATCGAACGTTGCAGCTCCTCAACAAATTGGACCATACCGAGGAGGTGATAAGATACGTTTGCGTAACCGTGGGCGCGATCACTCATCTCGTGTGCATGTGTTTCCCAGGACAGCTGCTGATAGATCACAGCACGGAGGTGTTCGACAAGACGTGAGAGATATTTTATTTCTTTCATTTTATTTTTTATGATTGAACTTACCTAAATTTGCTGTATTTCGAATTTACACAAGCTCGATGTCAACCTTTTAGATACGGTTCGCGGTGGTACACGTTCTCCACAAAAAGCAAAAATTTATTGAGAATTCTGCTCTACAGAAGTTTCGTGCCGTGCACGCTCTCGGCTGGAAAGATGTTCGTCATGTCACTGACAATGTGCAGCACGGTACGTCTTAGCTCACACACACGGAAAACAAAGTTTTGCCATTCTATATGATTGGTAAGAAAAATTTGTCAAGCTTACTAAACTTTTTGTTTCGCTAACGAGATGTTTTGTTGGCAAAGCAACAAATTTAATAAAGCGTAAAATTTTCTTGCTATTCCAGCAAAACTGTTTTTATGTGTATATACGCGAAAATATTTACCTGATGTACTTATGCGACAATTTACTTGTTCCATTCGGTTTTAAGGTGATGCATACAGCCATGTCGTACTTCACCACCTTTTTATCTGTGAAATAAAACTGCCACGTGCCCTTTTCTCGTTGTCGTTCAGCGAAAAATTTTTAGCTTTCATTGTGCTCGTGAAACACAAGACTTTTTTACAGACATCACAGTGAAACGACGTGTATTTCACGTAAAATTGTAATTACATATAAACATATATTTCGATTTTTTCTATTTATTTATAATGTCCTGCAATAAAAAAAGAAAAAGTTAAAATCTTGCATTTTTATCTCACTTTTTTTCTAAGTATCCATTTGTACAATCGAACCACTTAAATTATTTTACTAATAATTATTAAAACACAAAAAATAACTCTTTAAGCAATCCAGGTTTGCTTAAACAAAACGTTCGCGTGCATCGCAGCGGGAAAGCTTGTAATTTCAGCGCATTCGTGCACGAAAACTCCCTTTTTTACGCGTAACTGAAGATACATAACAACCAGTTACTACAATGACATATTTTTTTTATCGATCGGATAAACGCCTATCCTTCACAACTCGTGAAAGGCATTTGACAATCCGGAATTATTGTAACTACATTGTTCTATATTATTGTTTCTATTGTTGCGACTCTACATTTGCTTCGTGTGTCATTCTTTTTTTTTCTGTCTCTACAACCGTATATTTAATGAGGAACGACCGATTCGCGCGTACAAAATTGCATACGACAATGAACGCGGACATGGAAGAGTACTATGCCACCAATAAATTCTTTTTGTCGCAAATCGGTGGGTGGCCGTATCAGAGTCGAGCGCTTAGAGTGCTTCTACCGTGTCTACTAACGGCAGTACAATATTCTGTGGTAGCGACTGAGGTAACGTAGTGCAAGTGTATAGACGCATCGGTGACAGATTGAGAGAAATATTGTTGTAATATTATTGAAGAGTCGCTTTATCTCGTGGTAAAATATCAATGTTACGTTCGTAGTTTTTATCAAATATATCGACTGTCATGTATACTCGATACTGTTTTGCAACATCTTGCTGTTATGTCAGTTATTTTTCTGTGTATTGTTATTAATTATAGCTGCTTCTGTTACACGACACGTGGGGCGATGTAGATATAGCCGTCGAAGGTATGATCACCATTATCCCCATTGTTGGTTCCAACGCGAAGTTAATTAATATTGTCATAAATAACGACAAAGTGAGTTTTGAAAGTACAAAGAATTTTCGAAAAGCACAAAGTGACAGTTAAATATTTGTTATAAATCAATTTCTTACGCGTCGATAATTAGTTTCGACATTTGCTGCAACTTATGAACGATCACTGGAGACTTTTCAACGGTAAATCCGAACGTCATGTTCTGAGACATTATGCCGATATCGGTCGAAAGGTGACGAAATATTATGCAGGTACATGTGTAATTAAATGTAATACGTAAGTATATATAACAATAAAAACGTTCTGGAAAACGTTGAAATAAAATTATTCTAAGACAACCATTCTCTCACATAGAACTCACAACTTTTTGCAGCATATTGTTACACAATTCTGCTGCTGTATCTGTTGATTCCTTTAATACCGAGAATCTTGGACGTCGCAAAACCGTTGAACGAGTCGCGACCGTTGAAAATGATTTATCAGGCCGAATATAGAATCGACAAAGAAAAATATTATTATCCGATATTACTTCACGCCTACCTTTCGAGCATGATCACCGTTGGAATTGTATTAACCATCGATACTACGTACATAATTTGTGTGTTACACGCGTGTAGTTTATTTACAGCCATCAGGTGAGTGTAAAAGGATTTTTGGTGTACCAGAAAACAAAAATTTTTTCAAAATTTTTGAAACTTTTTTTATGGTCGATGTAACTTTCGATGAAACGCACACAGACAAAAGGATGTTTCAATTTTGATTTTCTTATTAAAAAAAAACGCAAATGCTAGACTTGTTTTGAAATTTTTTTACATCTTTTCGCATACGTATGTACTTTTAAAAGCCACCGTCTTAAAAATATCACCGGCGGATGTGACGTTAAAGCTTGTGATGAGAAAACACGCACAAGTGCTCATTATCATCTATTCGTGGAGAAACATAATTTTACCACTAACGATTACGACGAATTGACGACATGCTTGAGAAAACATCAACTCGCACTCGAGTTTGTATTGTTCCAAATTTTCTATGTCAAAAAATTTATTGCAATGTTACGTTATTAAATTGTTATATTTGTTATGTCTTAGACACGTCCAGATGCTGGACTCCACATTCACGTACGCGACGTTCGTGCTACTGACACTGAATGTACTTATCATGAGCGTGATTGGATTGCAGGTGAGATAATTTACATGCGCGTAAAGAACTACTTTATATCTGAAGATCTCTCACATCTACGTGTGAATGTTGCAGCTTATCAACAAATTGGGACATACCGAAGAAGTAATAAGATACATTTGCGTAACTGTGGGTGTGATCACTCATCTCATATGTATGTGTTTTCCCGGACAGTTGCTGATAAATCGAAGCGCAGAAATATTCGACATGGCGTAAGGATTGATAAAATAATGTTAATTCTGTAAATGCAAAAATTTTTTCGAAAATATTTAACGTATTTCGGATAAGTGCATTACCAAAAAACGAATCGCGCCGCGTAAAGGGCAGAACAATTTTTCTCTCTACATGCCGTCCTCTTTCGAGCGTCAGCTGATCGGCGCGTAAAAAAGAGAACCACTCTTCTAACGCGGCACAATTTTATTTCTCCGAGAGAATTTCAGTCAGTGTGTCATTCAAGTTTCGAACGGCAATGTCTTGTTTTACTTTTCTGCATTCACTTACGCCACGTTCGCCGCAATATGAGTATCTCACACGTGTCACACATTGACGACAGTCATAGGACGCGATTTTTGTTCTCTCGCATAGATACTGTTCACAGTGGTACACATTTTCTACCAGAAGCCGAACACTGCTGAAAATACTGCTTCACAGAAGTTTCTTTCCGTGCACACTCTCGGCTGGAAGAATGTTCGTCATGTCGCTGACTATGTGCAGTTCGGTACGTTTCGATACAATGATTGCATAATAAACAATAGTGTGAAATGTCTGAAAAATACGTCGCGTTATGTGTTTTTAAGGTAATGCAAACTGCTACGTCGTATTTTACTACTTTGCTATCGGTGAAATAAACGAGGACGAAGATGATGTATTTGTATAATATACAAATGCAACTCAATTTCACACAGCATGTCGCTGATCATTTAGTGAAGTCCTTAGCTTTCATTTCGCTCGTA